CAGGCAGGATGGTGGCTGGGGCTCCGCGTCTGACTGGAAGAGGGGGAACTGACAGTTACCCAGCACCCACTGTGTGCCAGGGACCAGCCCCAGGCTCCTACCACTGAGGCAGTTCACCCATTCAGATAGACGGAGACACGAATGATCCACGTGTTTTAGCAGGCCAGAGAGTCAGAGATGCAGAGAGCTAAGTCTCTGGCAGGGAAAGAGTCCAGGCCGGTGATGGAGGACCGCTGCAGACCAGACCTCAGGGGTCTACAGGACCCAGAAGTGACTTCAGAAAACTGGCCCACGTGGAATGGGTTGAATCTGGTGTGGGGTCTGAGAAGAAACCTGTGCCCGGCTCCCAGCCATGGAGTCAGATGATGGATCTCGGCCGCTCGGCAGTCAGGGCTCAAGATCACAGCCAGGAAAGCCTTCTCACTGGGTTCAGGTGCAGGCGGACAGCCAGGCAGGCGTCCCCACCATTTCTCCACTTTTCCCCTTTTCCCAGTCCTATTTTATCTGCAACCAGCATGGCATCAAAGCAGTTAGCTCTGCGGGTACCTGTGTGCTGGAGAAACGGAGGGGGGCTGCCTGCAGTGAAACAGGGGCCGGGGAAGATGGCAGGGTGGGCATGGGGCTGCTCTGTGACCAAAGACACACCACCCGGGTCTCTGGGGCTAACCACATGGTCACTGGGCAGACCAGCGAGTGGCCTCCTGAGACGCTGGCCAGCAGGGGTCTGAGTGGAAACCTGGGTGTGGCAGTGGCAGGGCACCCTCAGGCAGGGAGGGGCCTGAGCCCAGGGCTCATCCCACGGTGGGTGTGCAGAAAGAGGGAGGCCGGCCTTCATCTGGGCTCCCCAGGATGTGGCGAAGGACAAGGGCCCAGCATCTGCTCAGGCCCATGAAGCAGGGAGACGCATGCATCTGCCCAGCCCAGGCAGGCAGGAAAGCCTCGAGCCACTGGGCCGTGACAGGACAAAGCCCAGGTGTGCCACCCCACCTCCCCCAGTGTGCTCTCTCCTGGGGAATGAGGGCCCTGTTCCCTCTGCCTCCTTAGGACTGGCTGAGTGGAGACGGTGCATCCCTTCACAGACTCAGCCTGAAGATGGGCCGGAGCATGGCGACTTGCCCGTCACCAAGGAGACAGCAGTGTAGGGCTTCCCATGCCATGACAAAGGAGCGCTTCCATATCCCCCAGAGTCTGGGCCTGGGCCTCCGGGGCCTCTTGGGAGACTCACCCCTGCAGAAGTGAGGATTTCAGACATTCAGTGGAGCTCAGGTGATGGCAGAGGGGGCACCTGCCACAGAATTCTGGCAGAGCAGGAACAGAATCAAGGTTTCCTCACTAGCTGGGAGGCCGGGATCAGTTTCACTGCTGCTCTGTGCCTCAGTTTCCCTATCCAGCCTCCCTCACAGGGTTATTTACAAGTGCCTGAGGCGAACCGAGGTCATAAATGCAGTTCCAGTGTGGGATGCAGAAGAGGGTCCCTCCTCTTCTGCATCCCACCACGGACCTGGTGCCCTCACTCTTCTCTAACTATGGGGTCATCTCTTTGAAGGCCACGAACAACAGAACCCTTGCACCAGGGCCTGCACGCCAGGCAGGACTGAGTCGCTGAGAAATCTCCATGGTAGTGGCACCTCCCGCTCCCAACAGCCCCTCCAGTGACTTGGACACACCCAAGGGCACTGGCTGCGCACATGAATGTCAGCAACGCCTCCAAGTGGCCTTCCCAAGGGACAGCCGGTCATGTCCTCCGGGGGCTGGCTTTCCTCAGCTCGGACAGCCAAGGTACGAACTGGGCTCAAACAAGTAGTAAGTAGGGGGCCCAACCCAGCTCTGTCACTGCCTCTGTTGACCCTGGAGAAGCCTGTCCTTCCGTTTAGTCCTCTGAGAGCAAGGATGACCAGCTGCTGGGTGCCAAGACCCAAGCCCTACTGGTGGTGGGAGAGGGGCTGGCAGGAACATGGGGTCTACGGCCCTAGACACCTCTGGCATCAATCCTCCTCAAATTGCCGCCCCCAGTTGCCCACTGTCCTGCCTCCTCATTCAGGGACGCCAGGAAAACATTGACTCTGGGACCTCTGGCAACGTGAATATCACTGAGAATTTAGCCAAGGACCAAACACATGCCACTCCTGGCCAGAGTCCCCGGAAACAGAAGCACGTTCCCCCGGTTCTCGCGAGGGAGCAGGCTCTCTCGCCTGCTCTCTTCCACACAGACGATGTGTGCCCAGTTACCATGGCAGAGCACCAACACACAGGAAGGTCTAGGGGAGGCCCCTCCCTCCAAGCCCAGGCCGGAAACTGCCAAATCAAAACTGTGTGGCACTCGCTTCCTCCTGAACCATTTAGGTCTTAGAAGATTACTGAAAAATGAAAGCAAGCAAGCTTTCTCTAGCTGGCCAGCCCATGGCACCCTCGGTCTTTCCAGCTCCCTAGTGCCATGGCCCATGTCCCACCTCCTGGGTGCAATGGCTTCTGTGCACACTGCTTCCCATCCAGGCTCCAAATCCAGACCCAAGACGGTTCTGAACCAAAAAACACACGAAAAGGGTTTCACACTTTTTTTTCCATGACACCCCCCAACTCCAGTGCCCGGCTCAGTCCCCAGGTGTTGATCAGCACCTACAAAGCATTTGCTGACTGGTGCAGGGGAAAAAAATGGCCCTGGGTGTTAACAGGGAAGCCTCTACCATGATGCTTTCAAGGCAGGTATGTGCTGCAGCCTGAACACTGTCAGTGCCACTGAGGCTGAGCGTGGCCATGAAGAGCTGTCCCCAGACAGAAGGACAGGATCTGGAGGACCAAGTGCATTCTTAGGGCCCCACACTGCGAAAGCACAGGGCCAGGAGCTGCACAGGGCTCTGCAGCAGACACAGCCGCCAGGCGAGAATCAGGTGGGCAGATGTGACTCTCCACACGTAGGTCCCGAAACCCTGCAACGCGGGGCCTGAATGCGGCTTCTTTAGCAGAGCAGGAGCTTACTCTTGGCACTGGGGAAAGGGGAGGGGTGAGGCTGGTGTTTTTGAGGGGGAGGAGAAGTTGCAGAGAAAGAAGAAATCCTAAAATGACAGACAGCGGGACAGCTGTGGCCTGAACTTGGTGTTCCTGCTCCTCGGATGTGGATGTATTAATTTTCATAAATGCTAATAGCCCATTTCCCCAAGAGCTATTACTTATGTCATCTCCCCTTGGACACAGTTCAACACAGGGCAGACAAACGAAAGGGAGGAAAAGGCAACCCCCACAGGCAGTCCCCAGCTCCCCAGCCCCCTCCCAACCAGGCAGCTCAGGTGTGGTTCCTAAGGTGGCCCTGCTAACTGCAGAGTCAAGACCCCTGCCTTCAGCTCCGTAGCCAGGTCCCTATCACGACTGGAAGGAAGAAAGTTACCAACCCCAAAAATGCTGAATCACAAAGTGAGGCTGAGCAGGAAAGTGGGGGTGGGGAGGGAGGGAGATGGTGGCCAGGGAGGAAGGGTGCTAAGAGCCTTCCCACCTGGAGCAACCAGGGATGCTGTGGGCAAAGAACAGCCCCTGTAGGAGCCCCCAGGACAAATGCCAGGAGGAGGGACGCCAGGATGCGGCTGGATGGCGGGGTGGGAAGGTGGGCAGGTACCCCGGCTGCTGCTACTGTCGCAGGACGCGGTGCAGCAGTGGGGTCTTTGCATCCTGGGAGCAGCAGCAGGTAGGGAGGTGCGGAAGTGCTTTGTGCCAAGGCCTGGCTGGAGGGAGAACCTTAAGATAGGAGTACAGGCTCAGGGTCAGAGGTGGCGGTGTGTGTGGTGTAGACAGCCCGAGGAACTGGTGCAGGAAGCAGGGTCAGAGTTCTGGAGAGCAGGGTAAGGTGGTGAGAGCGTGCCCGCGGGGAGAGGTCGGAGGGGCTGGGGGCAGAATGGGAGGGTGGGGAAAGGGACCGGAGCGACACAGGGACAGGCAGCGAGAGCGATGGATGAGCCTTGAGAAGCAACCAGGGGGAGAGATGGGAAGGACCGGGACCAGCAGCGCCCCGGTGAGGCTGCGCAGAGGCCCGGAGAGGGGATGAGAGGAGGATGGAGGGAAGGGGAGGGCGAGGCTGCAGGGACCGGAGCGGGCACAGATGGGAAAGAGGTGCACCGGGGAGAGGGACCGCGGCACGGGCAGGGGTCAGGAATGCGAGCAGAAGGGTCAGGCGGGAGGACAAGGAAGGAAAGAGGAAGGGATGGGGGAAGGGAGACGATGGAGAAGGAGGTAAGGAGGCTGGAGAGGAGGTGAGACGGCGGCGGAGGCAGGGACGCAGGGCCGGGGAAGAGAAGGAGACGGGACCGCGGCGCCTGCCGCAGCGCGGGCTTCGCGGGTACCCGCCGCCGCCGTCCCGACGCAGGTCGGTGGAAAGCGCGCCCCGTCGGGGTCTCCCCCGTACTCACCTGGGGGCTCCAGCTCCGGATCCTGTGCCCCGCGCCGGATCTTCCTTTCCGCCCTGCCCCTGCGACTTTAGCGCCCCCGAATCCCGCTCGCTCCTGCAGGTTCCGCCAGCAGCATCTTCACCTCGTGGGACGCCCGGGGCCTCGCCTCTCCCGGCTTCTCATTGGCTGTTGTTCACGCCAGTCACATTACCATTGGTTGAGGGGTCGTCGGACATGCAAATCAGGATAGGCCCGCCGCCGCACCGATTGGCTGGCGCTCGCGAAGCGTAGCCCTCTACTTGGGTTCTGATTGGCTCCGTGGCCCGGACGCCCAAAGTGACGCGAGGCGGGTTCTTGGCCTGAGTGCGCGGCGCGCCGCCTTCTGAGGCTCCTCTTGTGGGTGGCAGCGGACGGGGCGCGCCCCTCGGCCAGTCCTCGGTCCTCAAGGCCTGTGGCTCCGTTGAGCACCGGCTGCCGGGCCTCTGGGTCCGTCAAGTGGGGACTCCCTCAAAAGCGTGGACTCCGTGGCCTCTGGCGCTGCCGCGGCGGGTCGGTCTCCTAGGTAACGCGGCCCGCGGCGGGCGGAACCATGTGGGCAGGCGCCGCGGGGGAGGTTGGACGCGGCCTCGAGGCGCTGGGGGCCGCAGTGTTGGCCAGAGCTTCGGGGTTCGGGGGTACGATGGTCCATGCCGTCCCTGCATGGGGGCCCGGTGCTTGGGGTGCGGCGGCGGCGCGCGACGTGGGCTGTCCCCGCGTCAGCCGCAGGCGTCCCCTCTCGTCGGGACTCTTGGTGCGGCCCGGGCCGCCGAGTGCTGTTTGGCTACGTGGGTTCCTCTTAGGCCCTTGCCCTTTGCCCCCTGCCCCCTGCCCCCCGGGCTCTCTATAGCCCTTCGGTTGAAGGGAGCGCGGTACTGATGTCCTGGGCCTTGGCTCCCTGCGCCCTAGTCCGCGCGCATCCTTCCTAGGCCGAAGCCAGCGGAACCCGCCTGGTCGCCACCCCGCCCCGCGTTCCGGCTATCCTTTCCCAGCTGTCGCTCTGCTGCTTTCGGGCGTGCCAGCGAGGCTCTGTCCCCGGGGCCGTCCCGGCCTTCTGCGCCCCTTTCCTGCCCTGGAACCTCCCGGCCGACCCGGCCCGGAATGCGCCACCCGCTCCCACGTGCCCTCCTCAGGCATGCAGGTTGCTCCTGCCCGCCCCCGGGCTTGCAGGCCACCCCTGCTGCCCGAGATTCCTCGTGTCTGGCTTCTTAGGAGACTGCTGCTTTCTGCCTCCGTGTGTCGCGATGTGTGGTTTGGTGGACGTCTGTGAAGGAAATCCAGCCTTTCACGCGTGTGCGGTTGGCAAAAGGAGGAGTATTTCTGATGATGGTGGGCAATGCCTCTCGGTCCTAACCCCGGGCTCCGTTCGTTGCAGCTCCTCTGTGCAGTTTCCGTAGATCACACTTGTGTCTTTTTTTGTGTGCTAATTTGTGCCCTGATTCTATACATTCTGTGGGGGCAGCGAGCTTGTCTGCTGTGTTCAAGACTGTTTCTCCAGGGCGCAGGGTAGGTGCTGGAAGAATGCTCGTGAATGAGGGAATTCCAGGCAGTGCTTAATCAGACTTCTGCTTCCCCAAAAGCTCCCCAAGGCATCTGGGTCTCAGGCATTACACATTTTCCGTTCTGGGAAGGAGGCCTCACGGACCCTGATAGCGCCTCCCACCCGGTGCGTCTTCCTTTCCCTGGGAACCGCTCTCTGTAGGACTTCAGCCCCGCTCACCTCTGCACCCTCCCAGGGGCCTGTGTGCTACTCACACTCGCCTTCTTGTCTTTCACCCCCACTGGCTTTCTAGATGCTTGAAGACAGCACATTTGACAGCCTTCTTATGCACTGGAACACAAGTGCTTGGGAAATAGTTGCTGAATAGATGAACAGAAGCAGAGATCTCAGGGAGATTTCACAGCCCTCGTTTTGGAGGTTGGAAACAGATGGGGAGGCTGCGGGCCTGTCCTGAAGTGAAAGAGGAGAGAGCATTAGCCCTGGATTCCTTTGGTGCTCTTACTTTTTCCCTCTGGGCCTCTCTTCTCCATTGGCCTCTCCTGGTCTCCTTGATTGAGGTAGCGGGAGGTAGTTATAATAGTTTACAGTATTATAACTGTAATGCTATTATAATAACTAGTTATAATAGCTAGCTGTGTGACCTTGGATTGGCTGTTTGTCCTGAGTCTCAGTGTTCTCATCTGTAAGATGGCAATAATGTTGATTCTCATTTTGCAGAGTTGTTGGAACAGTAACCATGGAATGTTTGTGAGTTCCTATCTTGCATCAGGGGCTCATTAAAAACGGGTGTATTTTCACCTTTTTTTATTTTTTTTTCTTGGAGAGCCCACTGTACCCTTTTCTTGGGTTCAAGACCTGGAGCCCTCTTGATTTTCTTTTTGTTGTTGATTTGGCCCCAAAGGCCCCTCTGTACTTCCTCCAGGGCATTTGTATTTCATCCTTAAAAGACTTTTGCTGAGGACCCAGCCTGATGTCATGGAGCTCACAGTCTCGCAGGACAACAGCATAGCCCTGGTGAAGTGTGGTGGCTCTTCTGTCACCTGCCCAGTGTGGGAGCAGCCAGAGGTGAGGATGGGGCTTTCACTCTGAGGAGGGAGCATTTGGTTTGACTCCTGGATGCCAGAGCACAGGTGGAAAGGAGTGAGGAGCAGGCGGAAGGGCACCTAGAGAGATTTATGAGGTGTTGGGAGGGTAGTCAGAGCTGCTGCGGCCACCTGAGCTCCCACCCGCAGAGTCTCAGGTGTCACCTTAGCCTCCGTGGCCCCGCAGACTATGACTGCCCTGCCTTCACATCCCGAGCCTCAGGACTTTGTGTGGGTGGCAGGTGCTTTTGGAACAGATGCCCTTCCGCCTAGTGTGTGCCCTGCTAGTACAGCAGGGGGCCAGCATGCTTCATGCTCCCTGTGAGGGTGGATTGGCGTGCACATGTCCTTCAGCAGTGTCCTTGGGCCAAGTGTGGCACTGAGTCCTGCAGACACCCAGGGAGGAGGCACCGGGTCAGAAATCTGGGGCAGGTGAGGAACATGGGCATCTGCGTCAGGAGATACTTCCTCTGTAAAATCCCCACCTGGGGCCATCACGGCCTGCATTTTGTATGAATACACTTCTGAATGTTATAAAACGTCAGTGGGAAAGAAAAACTTCAGGGTAGCTTTGCTAAAGCTTCAGTTTGATTCTGTGACCGTTTACTGAGTTGTGATGGTACCAAGGACACAGGAGGAATGGGACTTCTTTCTTCAAGGACTTGGCCAGTGAGCAGTTCAACACAAGACAGGTGACAAATGCTGTGACCAAGGGAAGCACAGAGGCCATGTGAGCCTGGGGCCTGGACCCTGGGAGCACCTAGGAAGCCCTCCTGGAGGAGGTGGCCCTTGAGCTGGTATTGCTCAGGTGTCTTCTGCTTGAAAGTCGTGGGCAGCTGTGTGATTTCCTGTGGCTCCTGTAAGAAAGTCCAACAGACTTGGTTGCTTAAAAGCAGCACAAATTTATTCTTTTCCAGCTAGGGAGGTCAGCAGTCCAAAGTCGGCTCTCCCTGTGGTGGCCCCTGGGGCTCTGGGCTGGCATGGTGTGGGCAGTTGTGGGCCTTGGAGGAGAGACAGCCTGGGCTCAAGTCTCCCGGGGAAGACTGATGGCTCAGTGTGGGCCATGTGTTCCTCCTTGAACCAATCACTGCAGACCTCTGGCTGGAATTGGGGAGCAGCCCTCCCCGCACATGGAGTTGGGTGAGGGTCCTCCACAAAACAAGGGAAGTTGAGCAACAAAAATAGCCCACAGAGAACAAAAAACAACAAACCAGTGTGTGTGCCTGCTGGATTCACACAGGACCGGACTGAGTCTGGTCCTCTGAGGAGTACCTGGCCTACATGCAGCATCTGGGTGCACTGTGGGTGGAGGCAGGACCCTGGGCCAAAGGCAGGACTCTGGCCAAGGGATGCATCTGGGTGCACTGTGGGTGGAGGCAGGACTCTGGGCCAAGGATGCAGCATCTGGGTGCACTGTGGGTGGAGGCAGGACCCTGGGCCAAGGATGCAGCATCTGGGTGCACTGTGGGTGGAGGCAGGACTCCTGGGCCAAGGGATGCAGCATCTGGGTGCACTGTGGGTGGAGGCAGGACCCTGGGCCAAGGATGCAGCATCTGGGTGCACTGGGTGGGAGGCAGGACTCCTGGGCCAAGGATGGCATCTGGGTGCACTGGGGTGAGGCAGGACCCTGGGCCAAGGATGCAGCATCTGGGTGCACTGTGGGTGGAGGCAGGACCCTGGGCCAAGGATGCAGCATCTGGGTGCACTGTGGGTGGAGGCAGGACCCTGGGCCAAGGATGCAGCATCTGGGTGCACTGTGGTGGAGGCAGGACTCTGGGCCAAGGATGCATCTGGGTGCACTGTGGGTGGAGGCAGGACCCTGGGCCAAGGATGCAGCATCTGGGTGCACTGTGGGTGGAAGCAGGACCCTGGGCAAAGGCCCCTCTCAGGCTGCCTGGTCATGTCCTCTCGATTCCCACACATGCTGGGAGCGTGCAGAGGGTGAACCGTTAGCACAACTCTTCTCAAACTTTTTGGTCTCAGATCCCTTTACCCTTTAAAAGATTATTGAGGACCCCAAAGAACTTTTGTTTATGTGAGTTGTGTCTACCAATGTTTACTACCATAGAAATTACAACTGAGAAATGTTAAAAATATTAATTTATTTAAAAATAACAAGTCCATGACATGTTAACATAAAAACATTTTTTACAAAAACCAACTATATTAGCCAAAACAAAAAAAAAACAAATTTAAAAGAGTGGGATTCTTTTGCATTTTTGCAAATGTCTTTACAGTCTCCTTAAGAGAGAACAGCTGAAGGCTCCTGTTTGCTTCTGTACTCAGCTTCTGTATTGGCCTGTGTTGCCTTGGTTGACGTATGTGAAGGAAGTCCATCCCGATCTAGTTGGGAGGAACCTCTTAGGTCATTGTGGATATTCTTTGCTGCTGCACTGAAACCCCACGAGCAGGAGTTTCTTAAGGATTTGTTCTAAAGCGGAGTCTCCACCACGTGAATGAACTCTTCGTGCTCTGACGTTAAAGTCCTTTGGTCAGTCTTGCACTTTGGGTAGATGTTTTCTTCTTGCAGGATTTTGTACCATTACGCATTGTTCAGAAAATACTGGTTCATGGAGTCATGCAGACCTTCCAACTATTGACACATTTAATGGTGTAACCTTAGACGATCACGTTATTTCACTGCCCGTCTCATCAGGGAAGTCTTGAAGAAGTGTGAAGCTGGTAGGCCCAAGGTGGAGGATACAAACGTTTTCAATTCTAATGTTTGCTTGGAAACTCCATTTTTATTACAGTTGTTTTCCCAGAAATGACATGCTCACTTTGTTCACACTTGAGAAGATGTCTGCCAAGTACCCATGTTTTGTCTCTCAGTCATTCTTAGTGAAAATGGTGTTGAATAAAAAAAGCGGTGTGTTCAACGTGCAGCCCAGTCACAGCAAGGCTTCCCCCGGGGGTGACTGTTGCCCTTCAGTTCGCACCAGAAATGCTTGTGTATTTTCCATTTTGTCTAACAAAATTAAGAACGTGTCTACTGAAAGGTCAAGATATAATAAGATTAGTAGTTTTCCTGGCTTCACCACCGATGTTCTTACTTGAAAGCTGCCTTGTTCTTTTCTGTGAGAGGTTGGGAGGACCTCACTCAACCCAACCAGCCTTGGGTCGAGTGAGGCCCCAGTGGCTTTACCTGCTGCTGCCTCTGCCCCACCGCGCCACTGTAGTGAAGGAGATAACACCTGGTGTCAGGAAAATCGTTTTGACCTTGTAGAGCCCTGACAGGGTCCTGTTAAACCTTGGGTTTGGGGAATGGACTTAGAGAGCTGCTGTCTTAGAAGGCCAAACCCACTGCTTTTTCTCCTTCCTCGCCATTTTAGTATATGGAATTCAACCTCTTCTTGAGGTTCAGATCTTTGGATTCTGTGTCGGCTAGAGAAGATTGAGATCCTGGGCCTGCTGGACGGGATCAGATAACACTCAAAATGGGCCAGGACCCACCAAGAAGCTGGTAACACCTGAAACCTGTCCCCAAATGGCTTTAGCAACAAGAGACTTTGTCCATGTGGCTGAAGTGTCTTGGGGTGACCGGCCCAGGGCTCTAATAATGACATGGGGACCCAGTGGCCCTCGCTCCTGCCTTTTCCTCTCTGCTTATTTTTATGTGTTTCCTGAGGTGGCCCCGGGCGTTTCAGACTGACCACCTCTCAGCTCAAGGACTGTATTCCCTCTCTCATGCTCCCTGGGTCCCCTGCAAGACGGTCCTACCCTAGGGCTGTATTTCAGCACCTGCACCTGGTGTCCCCGTGTGGTACCCAACCTTTACAGCTGTACAGAACATCCCTTCGTGTCCCCATCCGGAACCAGCCACAGAGGCCAGGAGAGTCGTGCTCTTGAGTCTGGCCCACGGGAGTAGGGGTGGGGCGGAGGGTTCTCTGGAGGTAGATTTTATTTCTCCATGTTATTTTTATTTCTGAAAAGGCAATTCGCATAGTTCAAAGTTGACAAGGATACCCAGGAAAAGTGAATCATCCCATGGCGACCCCAGGCACCTGGTGTATCACCCTCTAGATACAGTGTGTTATTGTACAACTTCCATAAATTCTAAGCAAATGCAGCGAATATATACCTACCTTTATTTTTCCTTTTTGAAGTGCAAATGGTACTTCCCAGGGAAGGCAGCGTGGGTGCCAGCCAGCAACAAAGTCCACTTGTCTAGGATTTGCAGAGTGTGGGTTTGGGGGATGGAGGTTCCTCTGGGGTTTAGTGGGAGGCAGAAGCCTTCAGGATTGCTGTGACCACTGTAGCCCTTACAGCTCTTCTCTTTATTTGAATGTGACTGGCACAGGTCATCCGGGAAGCCCACGGGACCCTCAGGCGGGCAGGATGAACGACTGGCACAAGATCTTCACCCAAAATGTGCTTGTCCCTCCCCACCCACAGAGAGCACGCCAACCTGTGAAGGAATCCACAGCTTTCCAGTGTGTCCTCAAGTGGCTGGACGGACCGATAATTAGGCAGGTAACAAAACGTGCTGTTAGCAGATACATGTTGTGATTGCTCTTAGCTGAGATGTGGCTTCCCGTTAACGTACGATGGTCCCTGGCTTTCGATGGTTTGATTTTTGATTTTGCTACTTTATGGTGGTACCCATACCGCCATTCTGTTTCTCACTTTCAGTGCCGTTTTCAATATATTACATGAGATACCCAACATTTTATTTAAAAATAGGATTCGTGGGCCAGGCGTGGTGGCTCAAGCCTATAATCCCAGCACTTTGGGAGGCCGAGGCAGGCAGATCACAAGGTCAGGAGATCGAGACCATCCTGGCTAACATGGTGAAACCCCGTCTCTACTGAAAATACAAAAAATTAGCTGGGCTTTGTGGCGGGTGCCTGTAGTCCCAGCTACTTGGGAGGCTGAGGCGGGAGAATGGCGGGAACGCGGGAGGCGGAGCTTGCAGTGAGTCAAGATGGCGCCACTGCACTCCAGCCTGGGTGACAGAGCGAGACTCCGTCTCAAAAAAAAAAAAAAAAAAAGTATTTGTGTTAGAAGACTTTGCCCAGCTGTAGGCCATGCAAGTGTTTTGACCATGTTTAAGCTGGGCCACGCTAAGCTCTGATGTTTAGTAGGTTAGTGTATTAAATGCATTTGAGCTTAGGATATTTTCAACTTAAACGGGGTTTATCAGGATGGAATCCCATCATAGGTCGAAGAGCATCTGTATTGATTTTCACTTATTCACTTGCGTCTTATACCATCATACCCATTACCTTGGATCTTGGCAGTATTCGGAGGCAAAGTGGCCCATCAGCAAAGAGAATCTGATTCAGTGACATGGTCAGCACTTTTGACACTGGGTAGGGTTTCTTTATGCCCACAGTGGAGCAATTTAAAAACCCAAGTACTCTGGTTTCCTGGGTTATTTCTGAGCCAGGTGGCCTTGTGCATGGCTCAGCATGGCCCGCGTTCAGCCTGGCAGTGAGGACTGCAAGGGCTGAGCTCCGGGCATTCTGGCAGCTCTGTGCGTGGTTGGATGTACCACGGCCTTGGGCACACTCAGACCTGGGCCCTGGTGGCGTCACATCCATCTGTGCCCTTCAGCTGGAGGGGAACCTGCTGGATAAGCTGGTGCTTCTGTGCTGCTGCCCATAGGACACCCACACGATTGGATTGTCCTCGTGAGGCCCAATGGCCCATGGGGATGCATGAGAAGGATCAGTCTTGCCATTGTCAACCCTTTTTACAGGATTTGGCTTGGCAAGGCCGTTTTCCTCTGCAGCTGGGAGAATGATATTCACATATATTCAGTTGTTGGAGCCCTGGGTCTGTGACTAATTTACTATTATTAAATCACTGATGTTCTGTATCGTTCAATTCCAAGCCCTCGGATTGAGTACCTGCTGTGTCTTTGCCGCTGTGGTAGGTACTGTGGTGGCTGCTGCTTTCACAGCTTTACTTCCAGCACTTCACTGTGTTAATTCACTTAATCCTCAGAGCAGCTCTGTGAAGCTGCCACCACCTTACTCCCATTTTATAGAAGAGCAGCAGAACCTGCTAAGGAAGAGTGGAGCCAGCAGCCCAGGGCGATGTCTTTAGCTGGGATGCCACTCTCCTTGTCTGGCTCAGCCGCCTTCCAGAAGCTCACAGGATAGTTGATAGCACTTCCCTCTTTCCTAGGAAGTTTGCAAAGGAAATTTTATTTCCCCATTTCATTTTATTTTTATTTGTGAAAAGGTAATTCACGTATTTCAAAGTTGACAAGGATACCCAGGAAAAGGGAATCATCCCGTGGCGACCCCAGGCACCTGGTGTATCACCCTCTAGATACAGTGTGTTATTGTACAACTTTCATAAATTCTAAGCAAATGCAAGTAAATATACCTGCGTTTATTTTTCCTCTTAAAAATGCAAATGGTACTTACTGTATTCCATTCTGTACCTTTCTTTCTTTTTTTTTTTGAGATGAGGTCTCACTCTGTCACCCAGGCTGTAGTGCGGTGGTGTGATCTCAGCTCATTGTAAACCTCCTCCCGCTGAGCTCAGGTGATCCTCCTTCCTCAGCCTCCCAGGTAGCTGGGACCGCAAATGTGCGCCACCTCGCCCGGCTAAGTTTTTGTATTTTTGGTAGAATCGGGGTTTCACCATGTTGGCCAGGCTGGTCTCAAACTCCTGAGCTCAGGTGATCTGCCCGCCTCAGCCTCCCAAAGTGCTGGGATTACAGGTGTAGCCCATGCCCGGCCCTATACCTTGCTTTTCAAAAAAATTCAGGCGGTATGTCTTATCGATCATTCATGTTATTACGTGAAGAAAATTTTCTTGTTATTTCTGAAGACTGCATGGTATTTCTTTGTATGAATGAGCCTTTATTTATTTATTTATTTAGAGAAAGAATCTTGCTGTGTTGCCCAGGCTGTAGTGCAGTGGTGCGATCTCAGCTCACTGCAAGCTCCGCCTCCCGGGTTCACGCCATTCTTTTGCCTCAGCCTCCTGAGTAGCTGGGACTACAGGCGCCCGCCACCACACCTGGCTAAGTTTTTGTATTTTTAGTAGAGATGGTCTTTCACCGTGTTAGCTAGGATGGTTTCGATCTCCTGACCTCGTGATTCGCCCGCCTGGGCCTCCCAAAGTGCTGGGATTACAGGCATGAGCTACTGCGCCCAGCCGAGCCATCATTTATTGAGCGAGGCCCTGACTGATGAACATTTAGACTTTTCCCAGTCATTTGCTGTCACAGACACTGCTACAGTGAATAACGTCATTTTATTTCATGTACAGATAATGTCAGAATGATACCTAGAAGTGGAATTCCTGATCCAAAGTCATATGTTAAAAGTTATTTAAAACCCAATTAAATGTTGTTTACAAAAAAGTGCACTTTAAGCATAAAGACATAAACAGGTTGCAAGTACAAGGGTGGAAAAATATAAACCATGTACATACTAAGCAAAGAAAGCTTTGCATCTGTGCTAGTAGCATAAAAAGTAGATTTCAAGGTGAAGAATATTCCCAGAAATAAAGGGGCACTTCATAAAGACAGTGATCTTCAAGGAAACGTAACAATCCCTAAATGTGTGTGCATTGGGCTGCCAAGACCACCTCCCAGGTTTGAAGAGTCTCTAAGAGGACTCGCATGACTCAGCATGTAGTCGTACTCTCAGCTAAGGTTTATGGAAGCAGAAGGATACAGAGCAAGATCAGCAAAGGGAGGAGGCATATGGGGGATGTCGGAGGGAAGAGGGTACAAACTTCCAAGAGTCCTCTCAGTTGAATCACATAGGATGTGTTTGATTCCTCCAGCCATGAATCGTAACAGCACACGTGAGATGTTGTGTAACGTCCAAAATTCCAGACTTTCAGAAGGGAAACACGTGTTTAGCATAAGCCACAGTACATCAACGGGTTAGGCACAGTGAGCCCCTCTTACCAGTTACGTGGTAGGAACTCTCCTGAAATCTGAGTTCCCAGACTCCAGCAAAAGGCCAGACTTCTAAGCTGGTTTTTCAAAGCATAATAGTCAGGTCTGCTCTGATAACTCTTTTGTACAAAAGAGCAAAATTGGACAGAACTAAAGGGAACTATATTCAGATTCATAATCATGGTTGGAGACTTTTAACTCTTCTCTCAATTATTGAAGAAACAAATAGATCAAAAAACTCCTGAGGATTTGGAAGCTCTGATGAATACTGTCAATCACCTTGTCATCTCTTAAATGCTACTCCCAAGAAAGCTAGAGTACACGTTCTTCCCAAGTATACCGTCAATCACCTTGTCATCTCTTAAACACCACTCCCAACAAAGCTAGAGTACACGTTCTTCCCAAGTTTATATGGAACAGTCATCAAGATAGACCCTCTGCTGGGCCATTAAAATGTCTCAATAAATTTCAAAGGACCCAAATTATAGAGTATGTTTATTGACTACTGTGCTTTTAAGTTATAAATAAATAATATGAGATCTAGAAAATCCTCAAATAGTAGGAAATTAACATACCGGATCAAAGAACAATTAATAGGGAAATTAGAAAATAATTTGAACTGAATAATGGAAGAAAATATACAGATGTGTAGGATATAGCTAATACAGTTCTTTGAGGGAAACGTATAGCTTTACATGACTATATTAGAAAAGAAGAAGGTATAAAATCAGTGACCTCTGCTTCCTCCTTAACAACCTAAATAAAGGAACAAATTACATACAAAGTAACTAGAAGAAAGGAAATGGTAAATCCAGTTATGCATGGTTGCTTGACAATGGGGATACATTCTGAGAAATGGCGTTGTTAGGCAATTTTGTCCCTCATTGTGCAAACATCATAGGATGTACTTACACAAACCTAGATGGTGAAGCCCGCCTCACACCCAGGCTCCATGGTATAGCCTAGTGCTTCTAGGCTACAAACCTGTCTGGCACGTTACTGAATACTGTTGGCAATTGTAACACAACGGTATATCAAACATGGAAAACACAGTAAAAATATAGTATTACAACCTTAAGGGGCCTGTCATACATACAATCTGTTGCTGATCGAAATGTCATTATGTTACTCATGATCGTATATGAGCAGAAATTAATAAAGGACAAGTAATGGAGAAAATCAGCCAAGCTAGAAGTTGTTTCTCTGAAAAGATTGATAAAATTGATCAAGACAAAAAAAAAAAAAGAAAACACAGGCTACCAGTATTAAAATGAAAGAAGCATCATGATAACATATGCTATAGAGATTAAAAATATAATGTTTAATTTTATCAGATACTAAAGGAAGAAGTAAGACGAATTCTAGACAAGCTCAGAAAACAGAGGAGGAGGGAATACTTCCTGGCTCATTTTTTGAGGCCACCATAATTCTGATACCCAGTCAAGGGCACTACAAAAAAGTACAGGCTGGTATCCCTCATGAATATTAACGCAGCAGCCCTGAAACTATTAGGACAACAAAGCCAGCAATATGTATAAATGATGGAGTATTAGGATCAAGTGGGGCTTATTGCAGGAATGCAATGTTGGTTTTATATACAAAGATCAATCAAAATGCAGTGTTTAAAAAACGATAAATAGAATTTATATAAATTCTATAAATAGAGTTTGGAAATAGATGATACAAAGATTTGGTGTAGATAGTCTTACAAGTTTGTATAATTTTAGTTGTTTTGAGAATTAATAGCTTTAGATAATGGCCAAAGCTTTCTTCCCTGTGAAAGGTGTTGGCTGAAGAATATTACATGCTTGTTTTGAATTCAGGGCACTTTGTTAATGGTTTTAGTATATTTCTCATACTGTCCCATTTACTTTTTTTGTTTAGTTTAATTTTACCATGATCATTGATTACATTTCTTTATTTTGGGGTAGGTATTTCAGTGCAGTTTGATATTCGTTGGGCACCACGACGTTTGGAGCTGTGCAGATGACAGGGTTGACTCTGTCCTTTACTGTGCCTTCAGGAGCTCTCAGTGGATTCTTGTTTGAACAGGCTGGGTGTGAGTAGCGTAGAGGTGGCATTCTGGAAAGAAGTCCCAGCCAGCGACGGTTCTGGGAGCCACGGGATCCTGCCTGAGGATGGCCTCCTGAGAGTGCAGGAGAGGAGGCGGCGGCCTAGCTGGGGGAACCCGGGCAGTCCCGGGTGAGGAGGGGCATGTGCAGAAGCTTTGCCTAGACCCCAGGGACAGAGCAGGGAACACACTTATTCAAGACCCACGTCCTCACAGAGCTCACATTCTAGATGGGGCGGCAGACAGTCAACATGGAAAAGCCAGGGGATTGCTCTGGGGAGAGATGAGGCAGGCTCGGGAGGAGCTGAGGAGGAAGAGGGACAGGGAGGCAGGCAGCGTGGTGATGGGAGCTGGGTCCAGGCCCCGGCAGCATGGTGATGGGAGCCGGGCTTGGAGTCTTCAGACCTGCTCTGCTTGCCTTCCCCGTCCCCATGGATAACACCACCTCCCTCCAGGTTGCTTTACTTGAGATGTGGGACCAGTGCTGGATGTAGGAGGGCTGGGCCAGCCTAGACAGCTGGCCCTTCCTGCTTCTGTCCCTTCATGACCACGCAGCCGCTTCTGCGAAGCAGCAGAGCCCAGGTGTACCTGCTTCCTGTCACCCTCCCTGCCCCTCGCTCTCTCGCCTGGTTGGTGGCAGCAGCCTCCTAATGGGCCCCTGCTTCCACTCCCGCCCCCGCGTGGCAGCTGCGGGAATTTTCATTCCGAATCAGATTGTGTCATTTCTGCTTAGAATCTCTCCCCGGCCTCTGCACGATTGGCGCGAAAGCCCTGCTTCTCCTCGCGCTGGGAGGCCGCCTGAACGCTCCTGCGCCTGGCACTCATTCCTTCTCTCCTCCCTGGCCCAGCCTGCTGCAGTCTGGTGGGCTTTCTGCTTAGAACGTAGCTAGAATTGGTTTCCATTCAGGGGTGGTGAGGCCAGTGGATCAGGAGATGTCTGCAGCTGAGACTCTGTGTGTTACTCAGGGCTCCCAGTTGATGGGGCAGGCCATGCCCACAGTCCACCTGGGGAGGTGCGGGGTTGTTCAGGAGGCAGGAGGGTTATGGTTTTGTGGGAGGACTGGACTAGGGAGGGTGAGCAACTGGACAGGCTTGGTGTTGGCCAAGGAGAGTCATGTCATGGTCTCTGAGGTGCAGGGATGGCCTGATGTATCTGCTCACTGACCCTGAGAGAACAGGGCAGAGGGTGGGACTCCTGGGGTGTGTGAGTCAGGTGGAGGGAGTGGGATGTGTGGGCTCTGGACGGGTTGGTTTTCATGTCAGACACGTTCTGACAGGCCTGCCATTTGCCACCCTAGGAATTAACTGGCTCTGGGGGACAGTCTGTCTCGTCACTGAGGCCCCAGATACCAAAGCATCAGTAATACAGAAAATTAGAAAACACAGGCTGGGCACGGTGGCTCACCCCTGTAATCCCAGCACTTTGGGAGGCCGAGGCGGGCGGATCACTTGAGGACAGGAGATCGAGACCAGCCTGGCAAAACCCCCTCTCTACAAAAAGTACAAAAATTAGCTGGGTGTAGTGGAGTGCACCTGTGGTCCCAGGTCCCAGCTGCTTGACAGGATGAGGCAGGAGGACTGCTTGAGCTTGGGAGGTGGAGCCTGCAGTGGCCAGACCTCCAGTCTGGGTGACAGATGAGACCCTTTTCTTAAAAACAAAAACAAAAAACAGGTACTATAGCTAAATATAGTTCCTGCACTTCTCGCTGGCTCCTGGAGCACCTGTGCTCTCTTCCGCTCAGGACTTTTGAGTTTGCTCCTCCTCCTGCCTGGCTCCCTCTCCCCAAACCCCCTGTGGTTCTTCTCATGCCCTCCTTGTTCTCAGCTCAAGGGTCATGTCAGAGAGCCTGCCCCGCCCCACCCACCTCTCTCCCCGTTCTTCACCCTGTAAGCCCTGTAAGGGCAGAGATTTTGTCTGTTTTGTTCCTTGTTGTTTCCCTAGTTCCTGGAAATGTGCCTGGCAGAGAGTCAATGCGCAGAGTAGATGTTTAAGTAACGTTTGCTAAGTGAATGGGTGAAAGAAAGGTGGAGGACTCTCTGTCTCAGGTAAGACCCTGTCACAGAAGAGCAAAGGCTAAAGCAACACTTGCTGTAAGTGGTAAAGCTCTGGGCAGGGTCCTGCCTGTCTACACTCTGGCTGCTTTGTTTTGTATTTGCAGCCATGATTTCTCAGTTCTCAAAGATCTGCTTTTTCCTTTGCCAACATCACCCCAAAATCTGGGAAGTTGAGGATTTAGAGTTTCTGGTTATATCAGGAAGGGCTCATTTGGTTGGAAATGATTAAAAAAACCCATCCAAAATGATTTAAATGAGAGGTGATTTGTTAACTCACACAACAAATCCACAGCCAGCATAAGCTTCAGGTGTGACTTGAGCCAGGTCTCAGGTGATGTCACCTGGACTTGTTCTCGCTCACCTCTTGGCTGCCGGCAGCCCTGGGCCTCATCCTGGCAGGCGCGTGTCTCCTGTGGTCATGTCCTCTTGTGCGTCCTGGGCTCTGGCTGAGTCAGAAGCCTGTGTCTGTTCCAAGGGACTGCAGTCTCTCGTTGGCCAGGGGAGGGCCAAGTGCTTTGGTTTATAACCCCACCAAGACCAGTGGCTGTGGGAGAGAGGTAGTCCCCCGATAAGGAAACCAGGGTGCTTATACCTAAGCGAGTGGCCCCGTGTGCACCCACGTGGCCTGCCAGTGACCGCCTGGCTCCTGGTGCTGAGACTCTTGAGGGCCAATTCCCCATTGTCTCCTAGGGAGTGCTGGAGGTGCTGTCAGAGGTTGAATGCCATCTGCGAGTGTCTTTCTTTGATGTCACCTACCGGCACTTCTTCGGGAGGACGTGGAAAACCACAGTGAAGCCGACGAAGAGACCGCCGTCCAGGATCGTCTTTAATGAGGTGGGCCCTGGTGATGGAGGCAGGGGCTGCTCCAAGGCGGAGGGTGGGTGTGCGGGGGGTCCTGGGTGGCAGCCCAGAGAGTGGGGCCCTGCCGAGACCTCACAGGGTGTCTCAGACTTGTGGGTCCCAGCAGCGTAGAGCTCAGTCTGGGCACTTTGTTTCCAAACAAAATCTTTTGTGGAAGCCAGTTTTCTTAAACAGACGAGAGAGCTCTGCTCTGGTTGAAGGGTCGGGGGCATAGGGGACTAGTCTCAAGGAACCTTGGAGTTCTTGGGAATATTGGGAAATGGTTGACCTCATCTGTGGCCGCTGCCACTACTACTCCCTCCCCTCCCCTCCCCCCTGCCCCCCTCCCGTCCCTTCCCCTTTCCCCCGTCTCTGTCCCTTCCTCCTTCCCCCCTTCCCCTCCTCCCTCCCCTGTCCTCCCTCCCTTCTCCTCTTCCCTCCCTTTCCCTCCCCTTTCACCCGTCCCCTTTCACCCCCCTCTTCCCTTACTTCTCCCTTCTTGCTCTCCTTCCCCTCCCTGTCCCTTTCCCGTATCCCCTCCCCTTCCCTCCTTTCTTCCCTCCCTCCTGTATAGAGAAATTAAGATTTAGTAAAGTGACTTGCCCAGGTAGGTAGCAGGTATCAGAGCCTGGACTCACACCTGTGCCTTCTGTCTTGAGACCAGCAGGTGGGTGGGCACTGGTTGAGTAGTGTGTTTTCCCTCAGGTGGTCTTGCGGCTGGCCACCCTGCGGGCCGGCATGCCCTGTCTCTGCGGTTCACTGCACAGCGTGCATTGCATTCAGCATCTTCTCTCTGCAGGGCGTTGTGCTAGGCTCAGGGTGATGGTGGCGCTCACCTAACAGAACTGCAGACTGTTGGGGAGACGCACCGAGCAGGTAACAGAGTAATTGCAAGTTAAGTTCTTAGGAGGAGACCAATAGGAGAGCGCAGAGACCTGCTTTAGGTGGATGATGAGGGAGGCCTCTCTGCTAAGCTGCTGTTTCAGCTGGGACCTACAGGATGAGAAAGAAGCTGGCTCCGTGACAAGCAGGGATGAGGCTGCTTCAAGCAGAGCGGGGAGAGCCGGGGGTCTTAGGACAAGAGGAGAGCCCAGGTGTGCCAGTGGGTGGGGTTGGCAGGGTGGCCCCGTCGTGCCTTCTGACTGGGTCCTACAGGGTCTTCTTGGGGACGCTGGCATTTTACTCTTAAGAGCTGGCGATGTCATGGAGGTCATGGAGGCCTTTCCCATGCCTGGCTGCTGCTTCACAGCTGAACTCGAGTGGGGGGAGTTGAGAGGGACAGTGTCCGAGCACATTGAGTGTGCAGCAGGGACAGTGTGGAGGCGACAGAGGTGATGAGAGGGTCTCATCTGTCTTGGTTTGATCTTTCTCAGGTATAGAAGGAGGCCCAAGAGGCCTGGTGTTGTGACAGTTTGTATGAGGAGTAGCAGTGGGGGTGACGATGGCTGTCCTTTGAGATGTTACTCTAGGTAACCACTGCCCAGGCATGCCTTTTCTGTGGGGCCCTGCTCTGGCCAGTCAGCACCTCCCCCTCGGGCCACAAGCGTGGGGTATCCTTTAGGTGGGTGACAAGGGAGGCCTCCATACTCCACCATCACCCAGTGCTTGGATTGTGTGTGTCTTGACATGGATGGGTCCTGACTCTTGCCCTTCCTCCCATGGGTAGTAGAGGGAGAGAATGACCTCAGAGGTCAGGAAGCTTCAATAAAAAGCCTGGCTAGAGTGTATGTCATGACAGCTAAAGATGTGTCTGACATTAAGGTTGTGAAACAGCTTATGCAAATACCTCTTAGAGGGCTGTCTGGCCAGCTGTGTCAGAAAAGGTTTCATGTTGTAAATCACGTGTGTGACTGCGGGTGAGCCCTTAGAGTGCTGTTTCCGCACAGGCAGGGGGTCCCCTCGCTGTGAGTTCCCGGTGGTGGCGATGCTGGGCCAATTGCTGGGGATAGGGCTGCTTAGCTTTAGCTTCGTCAGGTGCGCACAGTGAGCCCCCTGAAACCTGGTGCTGTGACAGCCGTGTGGCGGGTGGTGAAGGTAGCCATCCTTTACCGGGGGGCTCTTCCTGTGGCCGGGCATCGTCTCAGAAGCATGCCGTCATTTCATGCCTGTCATCCTGCTGTGCAGTTCAGGATCCTGTGTACTCATTTTAAAGAGGAGGACACTGAGGTGCGTGGAGATGGAATAACTACCAGCTTATTCCCAGGTGGCGAGTGGGGGCGGAAGTGACGACCCTGTGCATCTGACGGCACCACCTGCTGTGGCCTCCGTGACCTCCTGCTTCTGAGGAGCCCTGCCTTTTGTTCTGAAATGTTCTGTAGAATGCTGAGGGATGGAGTATGCTCTGAAACCAGGGACGCCTTGCAGTCACGAGGTGCCAGGGACAGTTCCCTCCTCCTCCCTCACCCCCTCTGACTTCAGCTCTCCATTTAGAGAGGCTTTGGACCTTCCTAAGGATCTGCGCTGCACAGGCCTGAAGCGGGGGTTTCCATCTCCCTACTCTCTCTCTGGGCTGCAGAATCCTGATCCCCGTAGAATTCCAGTCGCGTGGTAGGGCAGTCTTCGGAATGGACGCGTCTCTCTGCCTTTCTCGGGATTACATTCGTGCACCCTGAGGGCTTCCGTTGCAGCTGAAGTTGGGCAGCACTTGCATTTCAGCACATCCTGGCAGCTGCGTGTCCTGCCGCCTGTGTAGTTCACGATTCAGATGTGTTAGGGAGACTAGGAGCTGGTGGCTTTTCGGAGTCTGGAATACCTGTGCTGGTGGCTCCAAGGGCAGCTGACCGTGGGAGCCACGCGGCTCAGCCTTGGCCTGTCATCTGGGTGCGTCTCTTGTTGAGGCTGGGGATGGGCCCGGGGGACTAGTGGAACACAGCCCTTAAAGCCTCTGGAAAATCTGTACCCTTGGACTTGGAGTCGCTGAAGAAGGGAATGCAGCAAGGACAGTGGGGGGTGGCCAGAGCACTTTGAGCTGTGAGGGTGATGCTGAAGCCCTCGCGCTGTCTGCGGAGCCTGCTGTCTGCAGCTGCTATGCCCTGTGCGGGCAGCAGAGGACAGTGATGCCCCAGGAATGAATCCCTCCCGCCAAGCTGTTGAGCAGCGTGTTCTGTGCCAGGCAGTTTCCTCCATCTCCTTGGCATTCTCATACAGAGTAAAGATTTTGTCCCAGCTTAGTTAACTAGTTAACTTATTTAATTGTGTGTGCAAATGTGTGTGCGCATCCATGTACACAGTATCTGCTCACAAGTGTGGATGAAGCACTGAGTGCTCCCAGGAGTGGGCATTCATGGGCATGAGGGTGTGGCAGCATGTTTGCACACTGTCTGCTGATTGCTCTGTCTATGCCCCCGTGGAAATAGAGGTTCATAAAACACCCTTTGCCCTTTTCAGGGGTGATTCTGAGACTTGGCAAAAATCTTTCTCTGGTTTGGTTTTACTAATTGTCTGGGTTTTTCTGGTCTTTGCCTATCAGCAGTGGGTTGGGGGGATCTGCTTTGGGGTTGGTGAGCTGCCGGTAGCAGGGGACTGCATTTGGAGCGCCCATGGCTGTCCAGCCGCCACATGGTAACGCATGGACCCTGCATGCTCGGGTTTTGTGGAGTGCCCGTGTCACACATGACCCCGAGAGAAGGGACTGTGGCATGACTTTGCAAACAACAATGTCCTGAAAAAGACTTGGAACACAGAAGGCTTGTCTTGATCCAGAGCTGGGTGTTTTGTTTTGTTTTGTTTTGTTTGCAAATGATGAATTATTTACATTGGGCCCTTATGCAGGAGAGCAGTCCCAAGATACCTCTCAGCTCTGAGCTCAGAATTCCATGTTCTCTGAGACCTTTCCTGGTGGAGAGGAATTGCCTTTCACTTCCTCTGAGCCAGCGAATCATTCATTCAACTTCTAAGAAAGTGTCTTTTAAAAAATAATCCTGGAGGCCCCGGTCCTGTGCAGTTTCTCGGTTTTCTTTTTGAGGTGGACATACTTTTCCCTTGGATTCTTTCCTCAATGACTGTGGCCGGCATTGGGTGATGGGCTTCTTTTCCCTCCTTTATTTATTCGAGGGGAGTTACTGGGCAGGAATCCTGGTGGTTCTCCAGCAACAGCCTAAACCCCCATCAGGGGAATCTTTCCTCCCAGAGCCCACCAGCCCCAGTGTCACCAAAGCAGCAGGGCAGTCACCTGCCCTGGCAGAGGGACGCAGGTAATTGGGTTGTGCCCCTTCCCGTCATCACAGCCATGAGAAAGCCCCTCTTGAGTGGCTCTTACTCGTCGGAGCAATGAGTGCGCTATGATTTCCCGTCGAAAAGCGGATGCCGTCAAGGAATATCAGTGTAACCCACGTGAAACTCCTTCGAGCCCTTCCAGTGCCTGGATTCTTTGGCCTGGCTCTGGAGCTTACAGGAAGCACTGGCTGCGAGCCCAGCTGCTGCTCCTGTGCTCTTGCTGTTGCTCGGCAGAGGGCAGGCACGTCCTGAACATCATCACAACAAAAGCAAGAAGCCAGCTTCGTGTCTCAGCGAGCTGCTTCCACAGAGGGAGGCTCCATGGCTCTGGGAGGCCAACTCAGGCCCTGTGTGCCTGTCTGTCTGCAGCTGGGGAGAGCTGATTTCCTCTCTGGCACAATGGAAACCACTGCCGTGGTCTTGGAACCTGAAATGAAGATGAAAGAAAATGGTTTTTAGAAGGAGAAATGATTGGTCTCTGTGATGTTTCCAGGGTTTAATTATGCAGTGATTGAACTGCCAGTCATTTGGGGACAATAGAAAGCTGTAAGTTTGTCAGTTTTGTTGTTGTGTGTTCGTAGCACTTTCTTTTCCTTTTTTAAGAGATGGGGTCTCACTGTGTTGCCCAGGCTGGAGTGCAATGGTATAGTCCTAGTTCATTGCAGCCTTGGACTCCTGGGCTCAAGTGATCCTCCCTCCTCAGCCTCCCAAGTAGCTGGGACTACAGGCATGCACTACTGCACCCAGCTCAATTGTTTTTATTTTGGTAGAGCTGGGGTTGGATATGTCCTGCTTTGGGTTGTAATCATGCTGCTCACTTACTTTTCTAAGTAAGCCAAGGAGTTGCTCTTTGGATCAGAGGGAGAACTGGCTTTCGCCGTGGGCGTTGGAGTTGAGGTAGGATGGGTTAGCATCCTGCTTCATCACTGATCCCTGTGGGACTTCAGGCAAGTGATTTAAACTCCTTGATCCTAGAGGGTGAGGGATAAAAGACTACAGATTGAGGCCAGGTGCAGTGGCTCATGCCTGTAATCCCAGCACTTTGGGAGGCCGAGACGGGTGGATCACTTGAGGTCAGGAATTTGAGACCAGCCTGGCCAACAGGGTGAAACCCTGTCTCTACTAAACATATAAAAAGTAGCTGGGCGTGGTGGCACACACCCATAATCCCAGCTACTTGGGAGGCTGAGGCTAGAGAATGGCCTGAGCTTGGGGGGTGGAGGTTGCAGTGAGCCGAGATTCACGCCACTGCACTCCAGCCTGGGTGATAGGGCAAGACTCTGTCTCAAAAACAAACAAACAGATGAACAAAAAATACCCTACAAATTGGGTTCAGTGTTTACTGCTCGGGTGATGGGTTCACCATAATCTCACAGATCACCGCTAAAGAACTTCCTCACGTAACCAAATACCTGTTCCCCAAAAACCTGTGGAAAAAAAAAGAAATTAATTTGCAAGAAAAAAAACTCCTCCTGACTTCATTTATTTGCTCATGAGAGATAGGAGTTTGCGTCCCCTAAGTGCTGCTGGAGTATTAAGTCATGTGCTTTTCCATAAGCAGGGACCCACTGGGCAATAGTTTTTATTCAACATACGTCGGTTAAGGGTCTTCTGCGTGCCAGGCTGTGTTTAGGAGCTGGACGTGCAGAGATGGATAAGATGGTGTATTATCGTTTCAGCCAGGATTAAAGTTTACATTTTTACTCCAAATGAGAGTTTCTCGACCTTGGCACTGCTGACATTGTGGGCTGGATAATTCGTGGGGCAGGGGACTGTTCCTGTCCCTGTCATGATGCTTTGCTGTGGAAATCGACGGGCTCCCCTGATCCCTGCTGTCTTTGAGGGGTAGTGTCTGGGAAGCCGTCCGAACCTGCAGTGTGAGTCTGAGCCGGAGGGTAGGAACTACATGAAGTCTCTGCATTATTTGCCTGGCTGAAGATATCCTGTTAAAGGCTTATTAAAACAGTTTTTTGGAAGGGACTCATTCTGTTCCTGCTCAGCTCCTCTCCGGCGTTGCTGCCCAGCGTCGTCTGAGGAGCCCATGTCATGCAGGTGCCGGGTCTCGTGGCCGTGCTGTGGGGGGTGCCTGGCTGCAGCCTCTTCATCCAGGCACATCAGCAGAGGCCCAATTCCACTTCCATCACTGTGGGTGAAAAATGGAAACTTGGCCCCAAGGCAAAATGGTGTCTGTGGTTTTGAAGATGAAAGCATCACGACAGGAGCATTTAAATGATTTATTAATCTGTTTATGCTGTCAAGGAGGAAACTTGACCAGTGCAGATGAGTGAGCTGCGATGCAGGGGTGACAGAGAGCCTGTCTCCTCTGTCTCCAGTGGCCTTCCCCTGCAGGCGATTTGATGGGCTTGACTTAACCTTTTAATCGTGCAATTTCAGTTGATGCAGAGAATGTTCCTTTCCAAATGTATGGCAGTGGCGTTCCTTAAGTTTCCCTAGACTGAAGGGCTTGTGTACAGGTATTCCTCAGCTGGGTGCTGCCTGGCTGAGTAAGGCGAGAATTGGGGTGGTCAGGCACTCGTGACCTGGTCGAATGTGACTTTGCCGGGATGACCTGAGGGGTGCAGCCATGCGTCTTAGTTGCTCGTAGTTTTGTGCCTGCCTCATCTGTCCTTTACGAAGCCTTCGAGGCTCGAGCTTCTTGAAAGCTGACTTATGTTTTCCAGGTTCCTTATAAATTCTTTAGCTTGGGGCTGTTCCCACACTGGAGGGTCAGTAAATGATTTTTGGAAAAGAGCATATGTCCTTATCAATCAGTAATTGTACTGGTACAACCATCTGAACTTTTCAGACACAGTGCACTTGGAGTGGCCGACTCTTCTGATTAAAGATGGATTCGTCAGATTCTAAGGTTGGATCAGCTGAGACAAGCAGCTCTGGGGCTCTGTTGCTGCTGCTGTTGTTTTTGGCCTCAGAGTGATTATTTTTAGTGGTAAACAGAAGGGAGAGGCATAGCCATAAACTTGTACTTGGGACATGCCCGTAGCCGCGGGTTCCACCCGGTTCAGGTAGAGTAATTTCAAGGTGACCTCTAGGCTGGCAGCTTGTTGTTGCTCTGTGTCAGAGTTGAAAATGTTTGTTTTATTGCCAATAGAGAAAGTGGGTAGTGTTCGTAAGACTGATATGCACAGGTATAAATAGAAAAGGTGAGATAATGACCAACTCGACTTTGCGGTGGGGCTTTTTAAAAGCAGTTCTTGAGTCTTGGAAACAAACATAATTCTCTCTTAGTCCAACCACCTGTCAGCTGTAAGTGGTCATTATTTCATCATATTGCAATAAAAGATAATAGAATAACGATTTATATCTCATGGCTGATGTTTTAATGCGTCTCTCTGTTATCCTGGGCTGACAGTCTGTGATTACAGTAAACGTTTTCTCGGTGACACCATGGTAATGACTCGTTAATAGCAGGATTATTCCAAGTTTAAGTCATAGAGCAGAAGACCAGCCTCGGCTCTCGTTACCTCTTTCTACCTTGAGGGGGCGGCCTCTGTGCTCGGCTGGTGACCTGTGCTTTGCCCCCCAGCTGGGGTGTTGGGGTGTGGGTTCAGCACCACTCCTGATGCCTGGGGATGAGCATTCCCTGTTGATTAGCAAACTCAGTCGGTGGCTCTATCTCTGTCTACTGTGCTTATGGCATTCCTTTTTTTTTTTTTTTTTTTTTTAAAAAAGACAATGTTGCACTCTGTTGCCCAGGCTGGAGTGCAGTGGCGTGATCTCGGCTTACTGCAACCTCTGCTTCCCAGGCTCAGGTGATTCTCCTGTCTCAGCCTCCTAAGTAGCTGGGACCACAGGTGTGTGCCACCATGCCTGGCTAATTTTTGTATTTTTGGTGGGGATGGGGTTTTGCTATGTTGCCCAGGTGATCTTGAACTCCGAGCTCAAGTGATCCTCCTGCTTCGACCTCCCAAAAGGGCTGGGATTACAGGCGCGAGCCACCACCCCAGGCCCCTTAATTTTAAATAAAAACAACTGCATTGAATTTAATGCAATAGAAAAGCAGCAGCAGAGTGAAGGTGCTTTCATTCCCAAGTGGGAGTGCCTGTATGAGATGCGGAGAGGGGTTTGAGTCTCCTGTGCTGTCTTCCCAGGCCCCCTCTCCCTGGGCCTGGCAGGAAGGCGGAAGCAGAGGCTGGCCATTTGCATGTTGGAAATGGAAAGGTGTGAGTGGAAAACCTTTTAAGATCAATTTGAATATCATCTACTTGGCTTAGATCTTGAGAAATCTTTTAATAAAATGATCTCAAGGTGATTTTCGGCGTAAAAAGGCTTGAGTCTTTTGGGCTCTGAACTGGGGATAATTACTTAGCACCTAAAAAAATACAAGGATTCTTCTTGTTAATAGTTTAAATACAGTTAGTTCAGATGGAACTCAAAATGGTTATGCACGAAGCAGCACTGGGAGGGTGTGTTGTCTGTGTTGAGTGTCAGGCGATGCTGGGAGCGGGAGTTGATCAGCACGCATGTGTGTTTGTAGTGGTGGATGTGTTATGTCTTGGGCTGATCTCACCGTGGTCCTACCTGGTGTCCCCCTGCAGGGTTGGGTGCATAGCCGCTCTAGCCCCTTTCTGCTCTAGTGGGCCTGGGGTCTGTTGGTGTTTCTTGTGGTGGAATTCCTAGGGGATGGAAAGTTCCTGGAGCGGAAGCAGCAGACGTCTGATGTCCTGGATGTTGGGTGCTCTGGAATACAGAGCTCCGACACCAATGTTCGAGTCTGAGGGAGTTACCTCAGTGTGCCTGCTTCCCTGGCATCCTGCAGAGACACGGTGCACCACATGAGGGCATGGTAGAGGGTTCCAGATGCTGTGGCACGTGTAGGAAGGCGGTCTTGGGGGTGGGGACAGCACCCATGTCCTCTTTGTGTGTGTCCTGATCACTCAGACCGTCCTCTGGCTTCTGTTCTGCAGCCCTTGTATTTTCACACATCCTTAAACCACCCTCATATCGTGGCTGTGGTGGAAGTGGTCGCTGAGGGCAAGAAACGGGATGGGACCCTCCAGACATCGTCCTGTGGATTTGGAATTCTTCGGATCTTCAGCAACCAACCGAACTCCCCTACCTCTGCTTCCCAGGACAAAAGGTACCTGCCTTGTTTCTACAACCGTGGAGTTTGCCAGTGTCTGTCGGTTTTTTTTTTTTTTTTTTTGAGATGGAGTCTCGCTCTGTCGCCCAGGCTGGAGTGCGGTGGCCTGATCTCGGCTTACTGCAATCTCCGCCTCCCGGGTTCACGCCATTCTCCTGCCTCCGCCTCCCGAGTAGCTGGGACTACAGGCGCCCGCCACCATGCCCGGCTAATTTTTTTTTTTTTTTTAAGTAGAGACGGGGTTTCACCATGTTAGCCAGATGGTCTCGATCTCCTGACCTCGTGATCCGCCCGCCTCGGCCTCTCAAAGTGCTAGGATTACAGGTGTGAGCCACCGCGCCCAGCGTTTTTTTTGAGACAGAGTCTCACTCTGTCAACCAGGCTTGAGTTCAGTGGTGTAATCTCGGCTCACTGCAACCTCTGCCTCCCGGGTTCGAGCGATTCTCGTGCCTCAGCCTCCCAAGTAGCTGGGATTACAGGTGCCACGCCCAGCTGATTTTTGTATTTTTATAGAGATGGGGTTTTGTCATGTTGGCCAGGCTGGTCTCGAACTTCTGACCTCAAGTGATGTAGCTGCTACCACACCCGGCTGATTTTTGTACTTTTAGTAGAGATGGGGTTTTGCACCTGGCCAAATTCCAGCATCTTTCTATGGTGGTGTAACTGCTCGTCTTATAGTGGCAGTAGAAAGCCGTACATTTGTCATCTAAAGTTGTGTGTCCATAATAGCATAGTGTGGGATGTTTCTTGCTTGGGGGTTTGCCTTTTTTTTTTCTCTTCGAGACAGGGTCTTGCTCTGTCACCCAGGCTGTAGTGCATGGTGCAATCTTGGCTCACTGCAACCTCCGCTTCCAGGCTCAAGTAATTCCTGTGCGTCACCCTCCCAAGTAGCTGGGATTACAGGTGTGTGCCACTATGCCTGGCTAATTTTTGTATTGTTAGTAGACACGGGGTCTCTCTATGTTGCTCAGGCTGGTCTTGAACTCCTGGGCTCAAGAGATCTGCTTGCCTCAGCCACCCAAAGTGTTGGGATTACGGACATGAGCCACTGCGTCTGGCTGGGTTTGCCATTTCTAAGTGACTTAAGGAATTGTTCTTTAGACTAGAGTAAGGGCTGGCTTTGGCCACGAGCGATGGATTTGAGGTAGGATGTATATGGGCCAAAATCCTACTCTAGCACTGATTCTCTGTGGGACTTCAGGCAAGCGATTTGAGCTCTTGGGCCCTGGATTTATTCATCTGTATATGAGGGGTAATGATAACGCATATCTCGTAAGTTCTGCTTGAATATTGAGCGATGTGGTTTTCACAGGTACCTGGCAGACAGTAGGTGTTCATTCAGCATGTGCTGGCTGAGTGTCTGCCACGTGCCAGGCTCTGTGTAGGAGCCGGACATACGGGTGGATAGGCTGGCACATCATCCTTTCAACTAGGGTTAAAGCCTACATGTTTACTCCAAATCAGGGTTTCTCAAGCTTGGCACCACTGACTTTTGAATGGATAATTCTTTGCTGTCACGGGGCTGTCCTCTGTTCTGTAGGATGTTTAGCAGCATCCCTGGCAACCCACTAGATGCCAGGGCACCCCCTCCCTGCCCCCTGACCCAGTTGTGACAAATGAAAAAAAAGTCTCCAGACATTGTCAAATGTGCCCTAGGGAGCAGAATCATCGCTGGTTGAGAAGCACTGCTCCAGACATGCAGCTGTGGAAATTCCTCAGATGTTGTCTTTCTTGAGACATTTCAGAGTTTTATACATTTCCATGGTGTTTTCCAGGAAAGCTCCTCGGTTCTCAGGCTGCCTTGGTTTGGGGCTGCATGTGTGCCAGACATGCTTGATCATGAGCACCAAGGGCTTGGGGAGCTGCTGCTGGCCTCAGCTGCCTCTTCCTTCCACAGAGGATGGGACTGGTGGCGTTTAGAAAGCTCTGGTGGGCGTGGTGGTGGCCGAGGCCTCCATGTGGTTTCCTTCTGAGAAGTGTGCATGTGGCTGACGAGTGTTCTCTGGGTCCTGTCTTCCAGGTTGCGGCTGTACCATGGCACCCCCAGAGCCCTCCTGCACCCGCTTCTCCAGGACCCTGCAGAGCGTAAGAGCCAGGCCTGGCCTTGGCAGCACTCGCTGCTCTTGTGCCTTCCCTGAGTGTTCCCCACCTTTAGCTCTGAATGGGATCTTTCTCACTGTAAACCACTGTCTGCTTAGCTAATTGATCTGAGAGGGTTGGGCAGATGTTTTGTGGCCTTGGACTTCTGGCAGAAAGTAAAGAACTGAAACACCAGCCCTGAGGGAGGACAGTGCTTTGTGGGAATGAGCACAGGAGGGCCTGTGAGAGCCTCCTGGAGGGAGGGGAACAGCTCTGCTCACCAGATGGAGTAGTAGCTCTCCGTCACCAGCCACTGGCTGTCCGACACCTCTGACCGCACAGCCATCGGTTGTCTCCAGCATGGCGAGGCCCCATGACTGAGAGGCCGCCTTAGAGCAGAGCAGGGTTTGGTGGGGAGCTTCCTGCTATTCCTCTGTGACTGGCCGTTCCCAGGCAGCCAGAGGGAGCCATTTGGGAGGAATGGGGATGACGGTCTGCTCTGCTGCTGCCTGCCTGGAGGATGACAGGAAGGGCGTGTGGTGGGAGGGGTGGGGGTGGGCTAGAAGGACATCAGGGAGGCTCGGAGCACAGAGGCTGTGCTTGCCCAACAGTTGGGGGAGTGTGGGCGGGGAAGAGTGGCTGGAGGTGGATCTGTTGGGGAGGGTGACTTTCTGTCTCTTCGAGGTGCGATGCTGCCCAGATTCCTCAAAGGGGATGCCATGTGTGCCTCATGGCTTGTGTTAAAAGTTAAACCTGGCCGGACACTGTGACTCAGGCTTGTAATTTCAGCACTTTGGGTGGCTGAGGCAGGTGGATTGAGTTTGAAACCAGTCTGGGCAACATAGTAAGACCCTGTCTCTATAAAAAATACAAAAACTTAGCCAGGTATAGTGGTGGGTGCCTGTAGTTACAGCTACTTAGGAGGCTGAGGTGGGAGAATCCCTTCGCCCAGGAGGCAGAGATTACAGTGAGGTGAGATTGCACCACTGCACTCCAGCCTGGGTGACAGAGTGAGACCCTGTCTCAAAAACAAAACAAAACCAAACGTCAGACCCACTCCCTTTGCCCCTCACAGGTCTTGGTGACAGTCTCGTGATAGGAGATGTCAGCTGAAGAGTGATGAGGTTCCTGAGACTGGAAAGGAGAGCTTTATTTCTCATAAAGGGCTGCAGCCTGCAGGTGGCCTTTCTGATAGGCTGGGAAGTGTAGCCTCCAGCCAGAAGCCAGAAACAGACCCTTTGAGAGAGGGTCAGAGGGAAGAGGAATTTCTACTGAGTGGGGGCTGAGTCTGCTTATTTTAATAAGCCCAGGAGGAGTCATGCGTGTTTATGAGAGAAGCATGCATGTGCGTGGCTGAGTCCCATGCCGCTTCATGGGACACGTGTTCAAAGCATGGCGGCACTAGCAGGACCCAAGGGGGAAGTTCTTGGCCCCCTGAGGTCAAAAGGCGAAGCAGAGGACACGAAAGCCCTCCCTGCATGCCTTCCGTGGACTATCCAGAAGAGGGGCAGCGGCAGGCGATCAGTGGGCAGCGGCAGCGGTGGAGTCTCTAGAAGGGCTGGTTCCAGTCCTGAGGGAAGAAAGGCCAATGGTGGTTAGCATAGGCTTGGGCATATGGAGGCCTGTCTGGTCCCCCTCCTGTCACTCCCGGAACTCAGTTTTCAAGGCTACTCTGGAGTCCTCTAGGCCAAGAGGAGGTCCCTTCAGTCCACTGGGGGCTCAGGATTTTATTTTTAGTTTGCTGAGAACAACCAGTCAGGAACTTCATTTCATTGCTAAAGATTGGCTTTTAGGTTATTTTTCAGTTGAATCTAATTATTCATATGCCAGGATTTTCTCTTTCAGAAGTGTCCTTAGAACAAAGTAGACAGCCACCACGTTTGCTCCACGTCCACAGTCTGCACGTCTGTGCGTCTGTGTGGAAGCTGTTGGCCCTGAGTAGAGGCTGTGAGGAAGAACCTGCTGCGGGGCCCTTCACTCATCCTTGCAGCAGGCATTTCTCAAAATTAGCTGGTAATGGTGATACACTCACATGATTCAGAATCCAAAAGTATAAAAAAGTGCTGGGTGCAGTGGCTCACACCTGTAATCCCAACACTTTGAGAGGCTGAGGTGGGCAGATGGCTTGAAGCTAGGAGTGAGACCACCCTGGGCAACATAGTGAGACCGCATCTCTACAAAAAATACAAAAATTAACTGGGTGTGGTGGTGTGCCCCTGTGGTCATAGCTACTTGGGAGGCTGAGGTGGGAGGATTGCTTGAGCCCAGGAGTTTGAGGCTGCAGTGAGCCATGATTGCACCACTGCACTCCAGCCTGGGTGACAGTGAGACCCTGTCCCCACCCCCCCCAAAAATATGTAAAATACATAAATATTATATATTTTCTATATCTCATATATTTGTATATGTTTTATATATATATATATATAAAGTTCAGAGTGAGGTCTCCTTTCCCCATCCCCTCACCTGCTACCAGGTAACCTCTCTCTTTGGGTTCTTGTGGATCTGTCACTGGCAAACTGAGTTCTTTTCCCACTTTGTATTGGCTGCAAAAAAAGAATATCCAATTGGAAAAGGTAGTCAGGTTTTATTCACTGGGCAGGGGGTGGAGAAGGGAGCCCTCGCTTTAAAGGCACCTTCTCCCTGGACAGTGGGAGGCATGGAGACGAACGACTGGGTACGGGCCAGGAGGGTGGGACTCCAGGCACGCCAACGCAGATCATAATGTGCTCTTCCAGGCATGGCTTGTACAGAACACGCGGCGGTCTTCTCTTGGAGAGTGGACATTAGCATTATAATGATATGCTAATGGTCTAAAGGCAGCTGGGGCTCACCTGTTCTAGTTTGCACCAGTTTCGTGGGGCTCTGTCTTTCTCTGGTATTTGGTCAGGGGTCAAGAAACTCTGGTGGCATCCTTGCCATCTGGTTCCTTTAAAGCAGCTGTACCCATAGATAAAGGGACTGAAGGAAAACAGTGAGAAAAAGGAACTTTTGCTGTTATTTCCTCAGGGCTGCCCTGGTAACAGACCCTTCCGGGGTCTTTTTATGGACACAGAAGCTAATGCGAATGTCCAGTATTGCATCTGATACTTGACCTCTTCTTACTGTTCCACACCTTGCTTTCTTCCCTTACAATTTGCCTAGAAGAATGTTTTCTGTCAGTACACAGAAAGCACTCATTCTTTTTTACAGCTCTGTGGTATTTCGTGGAATCGATGTTTCATGATTGATTGAATAGATCTCCTGCATACTGACCTTAGGCGGTTCTGTAAGAAAAGGTGGGGCCAGGCGCGGTGGCTCACGCCTGTAATCCCAGCATTTGGGGAGGCCGAGGCAGGTGGATCACCTGAGGTCAGGAGTTTGAGACCAGCCTGGTCAACATGGCAAAATCCCGTCTCTACTAAAAACGCAGAAATTAGCCGGGTGTGAGGGCGAGTGCCTGTAATCCCAGCAACTGGGGAGGCTGAGGCAGGAGAATCGCTTCAACTCAGGAGGCAGAGGTTGCAGTGAGCCAAGATCATGCCACTGCACTCTAGCCTGGGTTACAGCGAGATTCCATCTCAAAAAAAAAAAAAAAAAAGGGGGCATCCGCCCTTCCCCTGAGCATATGCGTGAACTTGTAGGGCATACTCCTGAAGCAGGTGGCTGGGTCTGAGGTCTGAGCATTTGGAGTCTTCCCGTATTTCTCCTGTGTGTCCTCCTGGAGAGGTTGTGACTCCTGACCAGCCACCCAGGTCAAATGCCTTTAGCAGTATTTTAAATTTTAAAGTAAGCAGATTCCATGTTTGAAGTAGTTAGATACTAAAAAAATAGTTTTTCACTAATTTCTTTCTTTTCTTTTTCTTTTTTTTGAGATGGAGTCTCCCTCTGTCACCCGGGCTGGATTGCAGTGGTGTGATCTCGGCTCACTGCAACCTCTGCTTCCCAGGTTCAAGCGATTCTCCTGCCTCAGCCTCCCAAGTAGCTGGGATTACAGGCATGCGCCACCATGCGGGTAATTTTTGTATTTTTAGTAGAGACAGGGTCTCACCATGTTGGTCAGGCTGGTCTCTAACTCCTGACCTCAGGTGATCCACCTGTGCTGGAATTACAGGTGTGAGCCACTGTAGTGGACCTAGTTTTTCACTAATTTCTTTTTCTAATAATACACTAGTTCATATTTAGCTCTTTCTTTTTTTTTTTGAGACGGAGTCTTGCTCTCTCACCCAGGCTGGAGTGCAGTGACCAGATCTCAGCTCACTGCAAGCTCCGCCTCTTGGGTTCATGCCACTCTCCTGCCTCAGCCTCCCGAGTAGCTGGGACTACAGGTGCCTGCCACCTCGCCCGGCTAGTTTTTTTGTATTTTTTAGTAGAGACGGGGTTTCACTGGGTTAGCCAGGATGGTCTCGATCTCCTGACCTCGTGATCCGCCCGTCTCGGCCTCCCAAAGTGCTGGGATTACAGACTTGAGCCACTGCACCCGGCCTGCTCTTTATGAAATCAGAACATGAATGAGCTGAACTTGTGACTCTCAGTAGCTGTCCCTGGCCTGGCCACAGCCAGGACTTGAGCCGCCTGAGACCACGTGCATGCCCTGTGCCTCGGGAAGTGGTGGACTTCCTGTCACTGGAGAAAATCAGGCCTGAGCAAGATTGGCCATTTGGTGGGAATGTGAAGAGGGCAGCCCAGGCCCAGTGTTTCGGGGTTGTGCCTCTCCCCACACCCTCATTTCTGGGGATGCTATTCCTTCCACCGTCAGGGCCTGCCCCCACTGCGGTGCAGCCACACTCCTCCTGGGTGTCATTTCTCCGGGGGCTTTCCTTCATGCCCTTTTTCCTCCTCGTGTTTCCCCTCATGCTTTACCCACATCTGTCCCGTGGTTTGGATCCAGTTCTCCCATGCGTTATGGGTATCTTCGTGTTTGGTCTTAGCTGTCACCCCAGGAAAGTGGCACCTCCCTGAGGACAGGGCTCTGTCTCTGATGCTGCTGGCCTCCCTCCAGTGCTGCCCTGCTCCTTTTGGGGCTTGGTGGATACCAGTGCCGACACGCGCAGGCAGGTAGGCAGGCCTCGGGCCAGGGTGTCCTCCAGGCCCGTCTGATGGCAGGGACCAGCGAGACCTGGGGAAACCACATAGCCCGTGCCTGTGCTCTCAGGAGACTGAGGGAAGTAGTGGGTGGGAGAGATTTTATGCTGGATTACAAACTGCACCTCCAGGCCAGGCGTAGTATCTCATGCCTGTAATCCCAGCACTCTGGGAGGCCAAAGTGGGAGGATCACTTGAGCCCAGGAGTTTGAGGCTCTAGGGAGCTATGATTATACCACTACTCTCCAGCTTGGGCAAACAGAGTGAGACCCTGTCTCTAAAAACAAAAACAAAAACAGCAACAGAAAAAGAAAAATCAAAAAAATGTGTAAATTGTAACTTTCCCAGAGAAGGTTATTGAAGACCAATGCCTTTCACTCTGAGCTGAACAGAGCACTACTACACTCTCCCTAGAAAAGTCCCTTTCCTGTTTGTGGCATTTCTAACATTCTCTGTTTATTGGCTGGTTTGACTGAAAGTGCCTTTGCTTTCAGCTATCAATTGATCACATTGGTGTTTTCTTCCCCAGAAAACAAACACATGACCCTCATTGAGAACTGCAGCCTGCAGTACACGCTGAAGCCACACCCGGCCCTGGAGCCTGCGTTCCACCTTCTTCCTGAGAACCTTCTGGTGTCTGGTCTGCAGCAGATCCCTGGCCTGCTTCCAGCTCATGGAGAATCCGGTAAGGGCGTCTTTGATTCTCTCCACTTGGTGAGTTGAGTCTGTCCTAGTTCACAGTGAAACCTTGAAGGCACTGGGCTCTTCCAGAGGCAGCGTGGGCCGAGTGCCCCTCTGCAGCTCAGCAGCACGGCCTGGTGGGGGATTGTTGGGGGTGGCGGAGGAGGATGGAATGGCAGTCTAGTTTCCGTTTCCCTCCTAAATAGCGTCTCACATCCTTCAAGTCATTTCTGGCTTCTTTCATCAGGACAATGCTTTCGTAAGAGACAGAGTTCAAATCTGTGTGACCATAGCCAGGAAGACCACTGTGACTGGATCTCACCCATATGGCATCACATCAGTGACCTGATGGTGATGATGATTTTTAAATTAAGGTAAAATAAGGATAACGTATTTTACCTTAGCCCTTTGACCATCTTAGCCCTTTTAAAATGGCCAGTTCAGTGGCAATAAGTACATTCACATTGTAGTGCGGCCACCGCACCATTCATCCCCAAGCTCTTTCCTCTTTCCTTGCTGAAGCTCCTTCCCATTCAACACGGACTCTCTATTCCCTACTCCCCCAACCCCTGGCAGCCACCCTTCCGCTTTCTGTCTTCATGATTTTAGTGACTCTAGGGACCTCATAGGACTGGGATTGTGTCTGGAATTGGTTCCTTCTGGTGGGTTCTTGGTCTCGCTGACTTCAGGAGTGAAGCTGCAGACCTTCACAGGGAGTGTTACAGCTCTTAAAGGTGGCGCGTCCAGGGTTATTCGTTCCTCGTGGTGGGTTGGTGGTCTCGCTGGCTTCAGGAGTGAAACTGCAGACCTTCACGTTGAGTGTTACAGCTCATAAAGGTAGTGTAAACCCAAAGAGTGAGCAGCAGCAAGATTTATTGTGAAGAGCGAAAGAACAAAGCTTCCACAGCGTGGAAGGGGACCTGAACAGCCTGCCACTGCTGGCTGGGTTGGCCTGCTTTTATTCCCTTATTTGGCCCCATTCACATCCTGCTGATTGGTCCATTTTACAGAGTGCTGATTGGTCCATTTTACAGAGTGCTGATTAGTCTGTTTTACAGAGTGCTGATTGGTCCATTTTACAGACTGCTGATTGGTCTGTTTTACAGAGTGCTGATTGGTGCATTTATAATCCTTTAGCTAGACACAAAAGTTCTCCAAGTCCCCACCCGATTAGCTAGACACAGAGCACTGATTGCTGTGTTTACAAACCTTTAGCTAGACAGAGAGTGCTGATTGGTGTGTTTACAATCCTTTAGCTAGACAAAAAAGTTCTCCAAGTCCCCACCCGACCCAGAAGCCCAGCCAGTTTCACCTCTCAGGATCATGCAGTCCTTGTCCTTCAGTGGCTGGCATTCTTTAGGAAGAGAGGGGAATTGCTCTGTTAGTTCATCCTAAGAGTGAAATGTCTTCAAGGTTCTGAGCGGAATGCTTTCAAGGTTCATCCATGTTATAGCATGTGTCCCAGTTTCCTTCTTTTTCATCTTAAGGCTGAATGATATTCCGGTCTATGGGTGGACCATGTTCTGCTGATCGTTTCAGCACTTAACACTTGAGTTGCTTCCACCTTCTGGCTGCTGTGAACATGGGTGTGCAGGGAGGGAGGGAGGTGGACTGACCGACTCCACCAGGTGAGGGCCGCACGCGCCCTTTGGAGAGAAAGGACAGGTATCTCAGCAACACCTGCCACACCCCTGCCGCCCCCGTGCCCATTCCCAGAGTTGTTTTAGGAGAGAAACACAATTTGCCCAGCCTTTCTGTTGGGTTTGGGGTGCCAGTGCCGTGTGGGCCCTGAGACTACTTTCTTTTTATTTACTTCTTAAACTTCTAAAATTATTTTTATAATGACAGCCAGATTCTTCTCTAATTCTTTTTTTTGAGACAGGGTCTGGCTCTGTTGTTCAAGCTGGAGTGCAGTGGCACAATCTTGGCTCACTGCAAACTCTGCCTCCCATGCCCAAGTCATTCTCCCACCTCAGCCTCCTGAGTAGTAAGGACTATAGGCGTGCACCACCATGCCTGGCTTTTTTCTTTTTTTGAGACAGTCTTGCTCTGTTGCCCTGGCAGGAGTGCAGTGGCACAATCTCAGCTCACTACAGCCTCTGCCTTCCAGGTTCAAGCGATCCTCCTCCCTCAGCCTCCCAAGTAGCTGGGATTACACGTGTTAGCCACCATTTCCGGCTAATTTTTGTATTTTTAGTAGAGATGGGGTTTGACCACGTTGGCCAGGCTGGTCTTGAACTCCTGACCTCAGGTGATCCACCCACCTCGGCCTCCCAAAGTGCTGGGATTATAGGCATGAGGCATGGCGCCTGGCCTCCAGCTAATTTTTGTATGTTTTGTAGAGACAGGGCTTCTCCTTGTTGCCCAGGCTGGTCTCAAACTCCTGAGCTCAAACATCAAGGAATCCACCACCTTGGCCCCCCAAAGTGCTGGGATTACAGACATGTGCCACTGTGCCTGGTCTTGAGGCTGGTTTCTGACGGCTGTTCCTGGCCAGTGCCAACATAGCTTGTCTGTTGTGTGCCCCTTTTATACAATGCTAAATACCATTTTAAAACCACAAAGTTCATGTGTATTCAATACATTTAGTGAAAACTGGAAGTCTTCCCTTCTAGTCTAACTCCGTGGAGAAAACCACTGTTCATAACTTGGTGTATACTTTTTATGTATTCACTAATTCGTTCATTTATTCATTGATTTATTTAACAAATATTTATTGAGTAGACACTGTGAAGCAGGCCCTGGGCTGGGTGCTGAGGATGTTCCTTTGCACTCTTAGGAGATAGGTCATCGATCTGTCTTGAGTGGATTTTGGTAGTGGCAGACCTCAAATCTAACCACAGTCACCAAAGGCAATAGAAGGTGTTTTAGAATAAACCTGGACTAGCTCAAAGTCATTTTCATTCCTACTTAAATCATTCCTAAATTTAGTTTTCATTCTACTGCTGCTATTAGAGTGTTCTTATTTTTTGAGGTGCATTCTGGTGAATTAAATATCCTTAGCAGAAGAACTATGTCCCTTGGAGGCTGTGGTCTGTGGGAGTCTGTTAGGTCCTAGGGGAATCTCGGGGGCTCTCTAATGGATGTCAGTGGGAAGGGGGTTCTTGCTTGTGAAGCATTTGCTGGCAACCCCTATTTTCTCTGTAGTGTGCTTGTGGGGGTCCCAGAATAAAATGGATTGTTGTAGAGTGGGGTGTGTTTTTCCATAGGGTCAATGCTGTTGTTGGGAATTCCATTCCTAGCCAGAGACTTGGCAGCAGATAAATTAACAGTAGGCCAAGCTACAGAGCGTGAAGGGCAGAATGCCTCCGCTGCTGTGGGGGTCACTTCTGCCATGGTGGGGTTCGTGTCTGTCTTGGTTGCTTCTTTTGGTTGGTTAGTTGAATGAGTGAGTGAAAGAATGAATGCTTTCAGGTAGTGAAAGGATGCTTGTTGGGTTACGCTGGAGGCTGACAGGCCTGTGGTGGGTGTGTGTTCCATGTCTAGCCACGATGTGGGCTCGGGGCAGGTTTCCCAGCCTCTCCAATTCTTCGCTTTTGTATTTCCTTTATAAAATGGGCACAGTAATAGGGCCTGCTCATAAAGATGTATTTGGGGAGAAAATGAGATGGATTGGTAAAGCACTAGCATCTTCATCATGAAAGTTGTGTCTTAAATTCAGCCCAGATCCAAGCCTCCTACGGTAGAGCGTCCTGGGAGGTCTGATCTGTTTGCCCTTTGCTAGCCCTTCAGATGTGCGAAGGCAGCATTCAGCACCAGGCCCAGCTGTGTTTTTGTCCAGGCCTGGCATCTCGAAGGTCACAGAGTAACTTGGTGGCTGAGCCAGGCTTGGGCTTACGTGCTTTACTCCAGAGCCCATGATGCTTGCAAGACATGGGCTGCCAAGCCAGCTGAATGAGGATACCCAGGCTTGTCTGGCTTCCCTGGGCCCTCCAGGATCTGGAAAGTTCTACTCACTGCAGATGTAGCTTCTCAGTCTGGCTGTCCTGGCAGGAACCCATCTTTCCTCCCCTAATGACTTCCCGTGCATGGGACTTGCATCTTCAGCTCTCTGTGCAGACCAGAGTCACAACTATTGGAATGGCCGTTGGGCCTGGGGGTGCGTGTGCACCTTGGTCATGGGGTGGCCACACAGAACCTGCTTCCTTCCCAGCCTGGACCACTTCCAGGAGCACCGACTTCTGCCCCCTCCCAGATGCCTAGTGACCCTGATCCCTCCACTGAGTTGCCGCCTCTTGAGATGGGGCACCCATGGCACACAAGTGATCCTTCCTAAAGGAAGTTGGTCTGGTAAATGGCCTTTGTCCTCTGTTATTTTAGTTTATGTCATCCCCCCACCCCAGCTTTTTGAAACGTTCTATTAAAATTTTTCTTGGCACACTGTAATTGTATATATTTGTGGGGAACAGTTTGATGTTTCAGTACACATATGTGTTGTAGAGTGATCAAATGGGAGTACTAGCGTGATCGTGATCTCCCACACTCATCGTTTCTGTGTGGTCAGGACGTTCAGAAGCTGCTCTTCTAGCTGCTTTTCTAGCTCTTTTGTATTTTACGGTGACTTACTGGTAACCATCATTACCCTGCTGTGCAAGAACAGCAGAATTTAGATTATAACTTGTACCATGACCCCTTGACAACCTCTCCCTCCCCTCCTCAGTCTCTGGTAACCACTGCTCTGTGCTCTGCTTCTATGGTGCCAACTCTTTTTGTTGAGCTCCCACGTATGAGCGAGATCATGTGGCATTTGTCTTTCTGTGCTTGGCTTATTCCACTTAACCTTGATGTCTGCTAGGTCCATCCGTGTTGTGTTGTCGCAAGCTACAGGACTTCATTCTTTTTCGTGGCTGTGTAAGTACTCCATTGTGTAGAGACACTACTTTTCTTTCTGCATTCATCCATTGATGAACACTTAGGTTGATTCTGTGTCTCCACTCTTGTGAATAGTGCTGCAATAAACATGGGAGTGGCGATATCTCTTTGACATACTGATTTCATTTCCTTTGGATGTTATATACTCAGTAGTAGGGTTGCTGGATTATATGGGAATTCTATTTTCAACTTTTTGAGGAACCTCTGTCTAGTTTTCCATAGTGGCTGTTCTAATTGGCAATCCCACCCACAGTGTATGGGTGTTCCCTTTTCTCCACATCCTCACCAACACTTATTTTATCTTTTTGATGGTGGCCATTCTCACTGAAGTGAGGTGGTATCTCATTGTGGTTTTAATTTTCATTTCCCTGATGACTAGTGAGGCTGAGCATTGTTTCATGTGCCTGCAGGCTATTTGAATGTCTTCTTTTGAGAAATGTCTATTAAGGCCCTCTGTCCATTTTAAAATGAAGCTACTAGTTTCTTTTTTGTGTGTGTGTGCTGTTGAGTTGCTTAAATTCCTTATGTATTCTGGATATTAACCCCTTGTTAGACATATAGTTTACAAATATTTTCTCCCATTGTGCAGGTTATCTCTTCACTCGGTTAATTGTTTCCTTTGTTGTGTAAGAGCTTTTTATTTTGATATAATCCATTGGTTTCTTTTTGCTTTTGTTGCCTGTGCTTTTACAGTTTTATTAAAAAAAAAAATCCTTACACAGCCCAATGTTACTTTAAAAATCCTTACTCAGCCCAGTGTTATGAAGCACTTCTTGCGTTTTGTTCTAGTATTTTCATAGTTTCAGGTTTTACATTTAAGTCTTCAATCTATTTTGAGTTGACTTTTACAAATGGTGAGAGGTGGGGCATCTCATCTCATTCTTCTGCATGTGGGTGTCCAGTTTGTCCAGCACCATTTGTTGAAGAGACTGTCTTTTTCCCCAGTGTGTGTTCTTGGCACCTCTTTAAAAGTCAGTTAGCTGTAGGTGCATGAATTTATTTCTGGAATCTCTATTCTGTTCCATTGGACAAACCTAATGTGAGTTTGTGATAGGGACAATATAGAAAACTATAAGGAAAATATTCTACAATTACTGCCTGCAGATACACATGTATACATGTAAGTGCACATACTTTTAGATACCATTGCTATCAAATGGAATAATATAGTTTTATATGTTACTATTCTTTTCACTTATATTATGATTATTTTTCAGTTTATTAAATAATTTTTGACAGTGTGATTTTTTGTTCTTATTCAGCATGAGTGAATAATAGTTTAATGAACATTCCCCTATTGAACATTTGGTTTCGATTTTTCTCTATCATCATAAAGTTTCAGTGAATATTCTTGCACATAAATCCTTGCTTCTGTGTTTGATTATTTTCTCTGAATAGGTTCAAAAAGTAGAATTACTGGGGCAGAAAGTGATATTTTAAAGCTTTTGACGTACTCGAAGGTAAAGGCAGTACTGACCCATAACCTTCCACAGGATAGGAGAGTGTTCTGTTGACAGCAGTTTCATCAGCATTGAGTGTTACCTTGGTGTTTTCTTTTTTTTTTTTCCAACTTTGGAATTAGCTTTTAAAAATCTACATATCTACATAAGTAAAAGATCATTAAATATAGGAAGAGATGGAGCTAGGACCAGAAGAAGATGCTAGTGATGGGGAAAGAAGGGGCAGAGTCCACGAGTGTGTGTAGATTGGGAAGCGGTTGGCTCCTTCCTCCTCCTGGGTGAGCCTTTGCTCTAGAGCCAGTGGAGAAGGCTCCCCAGGCAGCGCTGGGTCCTTCCCTCTCTCAGCCAAAGTTTTTCATGGGCCTGCTCTGCACCGGACCCTGAGCTGGGTCCCTGGGGCCACTGTCCCCTGGATGGGACCCTTTTCTTGTGGTGCTGTTCAGGCTGTATTTTGCTGGTTGCCTTGACAGGCTCCTGCCTGCTCAGTGTGTTTGCAGATGGTTCAAGGTAACGCAGTAAAGTAAGGAGCGGCGTGGCTGGCCGCGTTCCTGCTGGACAGAGAGGAAGGAAGCCATGCAGGGCAGCAGTCTGCAGGACTGCACATGTCACTTTGCCTTCTCCAATCTGTGTTCTTTGAGTTGTCGAATTATAAAAACTGTTCCTGGGCCGGGTTCGGTGACTCATGCCTGTAATCTCAGAGCTTTGGGAGGCCGAGGTGGGCGGATCACAAGGTCAGGAATTCGAGACCAGCCTGGCCAATATGGTGAAACCCTGTCTCTACTAAAAATACAAAAATTAGCTGGGCATGGTGGCAGGTGTCGGGAGTCCCAGCTACTCAGGAGGCTGAGGCAGAAGAATGGCTTGAACCTGGGAGGCGGAGGTTGCCGTGAGCCAAGATTGCGCCACTGCACTCCAGCCTGGGCGACAGAGCAAGACTCCGTCTCAAACACACACACACACACAAACAAAACCAAAACACAAAAAACTGTTCCTGGAGGAGGTTTGGGGTAGAATTTGGACTGCCAATGAAATCTGCATTTGCTTAATTGTTGTGGGGGGTTGGCTTGGGCCTTGTGCTCTGTCTGGGGGTCCCCAGCACCCTTCCTTGCTGCAGACCCCGGCTGAGGCTGGGGTGGGTGGGGACCCTTGGTGGCTGCCAGTTGGTTTTATTCCCAGGGATGATCCTTTTCGCACCCTCACCGTTTCAGGCGACGCTCTCCGAAAGCCTCGCCTCCAGAAGCCCATCACGGGGCACTTGGATGACTTATTCTTCACCCTGTACCCCTCCCTCGAGAAGTTTGAGGAAGAGCTGCTGGAGCTCCACGTCCAGGACCACTTCCAGGAGGTGTGGAGTCAGAAGCATAATGGGGGGCAGGGTGGGGCCAGGCAGGGGTGGGGCCCGGGTAGGGCAGGGAGGAGGTGGGGCAGGGCAGGGGTGGGTAGGGCAGGGCAGGGCAGGGGTGGGTAGGGCAGAGGAGAACCCACATCTGATGTTGCTGAGGAGGGCCTTGTGGCCATAAAGTGACGTGGTTCTGTCTTTTCCCCACTTTTTAGAGCTGAATTGGACCTTTAGGGACCCCTTTCTTCCACAGCCAAGGCCCCCATAGAGCCTCCAGTCGTTGTTTTAACTTGAACAGTGACGAAGGTGCAGTTGACCTGATGTGTTAATTAACATTAATTCTGGTAGATCATGAAATAGTCCTCATTTAAAGTAAACTAAGTCACCAGATGGGCATAGGGAAACCCATAGAACCCTTCCCATGTTCAGAGGATGTCGGTGGGGACGTGGGGTTCATTTCCAGAGATGGCTGGAAGCCTTCAGTCATCTCACCCACCTTGGGCCCCTGGGAAGGCACCTCCAGCCTCACCGTCCCCTCAGCCTGCCCGTGTCACACATCATTGCGTTCTGGTCTCTGAGCGCCTGTTCACACTCCCTGCCGTTCCTGTCTGTTGCTTTTCAGTGATGGGTTTGTCCAGGTACCCTGGCAGGGCGTCTGGAGGGGTTGCCCATCTGTTAGGCAGAGGCTGTCGAGCCTGTTTGCCTGTGGCCCCCGGGAGGGATGTCTGCGTCTTGCAGGTGTGTGGAGCTCAGCCTGCCTAGTGCGCAGCATCCACTGGGGTTTCCTCTCCGGCCCCGTCCCAGCGATGCCCTGGCTTGCAAGCTGTAAAACACCAGGGCCAGGGAGGTTGTTTCTAGAGCTCCCGTCACCTCTGACAGCAAAAATTCTCTTGGATTTTTCTGTGTAGAAGCTTGTTTGTATGCCAGACAAGACTTGGAAAAGCCTTTGCAGGTTTGGGGATTGCTTATGTTTTCTAGGCGATAATCTGTTCTTGGTCTGGAAAAATTGGACCTGACGAACTGTCACAAATACCGCCCTGGCTCTTCTGTCTCCAGCAGCAGTGGGAGCAGGCATGTGGGACGGAGATTGCCTGGTTCTCCTGGGGCCCTGGGCTCAGCCCACTTGCCCGCACCTTCGCTGATGGTCACCAGATGGAGTGGGGAGAAGAGGGGTCAGCCCTGGCTGCTCTCAGCTCTGGAAGGAGGGGCCCTTAGACCTGGGTTGTGGGCAAACCACTCCTTGTTCCCCCTCCTAGAACGAGAGAGAGTCTTCACTTTCGACTTCAGAAACGAAGAGAAAGAAACTTTAATTGCAGAGAGCCACGAGACTGGTGGGGTAACATGTTGCTATTGCGTCGAGTCCTCTTCATGTCACACCCCTTTCATGATGAGTCCCACAGCAGTGCGCAGAATGCGATTGTGTGACTGCGCGACGTGAGGAAGGACAGCCGGGGAGGCCTTGGGCCCGGCACCCACAGAGGCACCCTCAGAGCCTCTCTGGTCTCATCCTGGCTGCACCTTCCTCCCCGCCCATTCCCTAGGGCGTTTGTGCTAATCACATCTTGGCTTTCTGTTCTGGTTTTACTGCCTGTCCAGGCATCCCTAAACACTATAGGCTTGCCTGCTTTTGACCTATGTTTAAATGAAGTCGTACTTTTTTCTTCTGTATTGTTTTGCTGCTTTTGCTCAAGACTGTGCTCCCGTGAGAGGCTGTCTGCAGTGGCTGTGGCTCCATTTGCTCACTTTCTTTGCTGGATGGTCGTCCATGTGAGGGCACCAGGATTTATGAATCCATTCTACCACTGATGGACTTTTGGGCTATTTTCAGGTTGGGGCTGAGCATGCTTCCATGTATATCCTGACTTTTAGTAGAATCTCGAGCAGGAAGTAAAAGGGACTTTTTTGGAAAATCCTCATGGGCCTGCAATGAACTGGCTGGTCTGCTGGGGTCTGCTGGTCTAGGATGACCTTGGTTGGGGTGGGGTGGCTCCCTGTGGCCTCTCCTGTGGCAGCCAGTCTGGGCTTGCTCTCATGGAGGCAGATGTTTAAGAGAGGAGTTGGAAATGCGTAGACATTTTCGAACCTCTGTTTGGATTAAATGTGTTACTCTCCCATTGGCCAAAGCAGGTCACTGGCCAAGTCCAGAGTTGGAGAGGTAGGGGACTCCAGGTTTGAGGACAAAGATGTGGCTTTGAAGATCCCTTACCTGGAGCTGTGAATGAGTCCTTTACCATGAGGGTTTGGTGGAATTCCCAGGATTTTGCCAACTCAGCCATAGCTCCTGGGGGTGGAGGCAGAGATGGGAACGGTGCCTGCCTTCCTCCCTTTGAGCTTCAAGGCTTGGGTCCTGCCTTGGCACCAGGTCCTGAAGGCTGGTGCATTCTGTTGTGCCACTGTCCTTAATTGCTGGCATATTTTGCTCCTTAGGTACTGGGGGAAGGAAATTCTCTGAGGAAGTGTCCCTGTCGTGTTCACTTAAAAGTCCCAGAGAACATTTTTTTTCACTCAGTAGTCAAAGAGGTCTTTTAAAAACATAAATTCATCACTTCTCGGCCTTTTGGGTAAGATTAAATATAAAAACATAAATTCAGCCATTTTTCTTCTGTGTTGAAAACCTGCTGCTGGCTTCTCATTGCCCTTGCACTGACACCTGGGCTCCTGACCCTCTGGGCGGCATGTGGTGTGGTCTCTGCAGGTTTCCCGTGCCTCACTGCGTGCTGCCTCCTGGGCATGGATTGGTCTTTGCGGGTTTCCCTATTTCACTGTGTGCTACTTCCTGAGCCTGTTTTGGAGTCCTGGACTCAGGCCTGCCTCCGCCTGGGTGACCTCGGACTCATGTTTGTCCCTGCATGGGTCCTGGAGCATGTAGCAGACTTTCCAGAATGTTCTTCCTGCACATCTCTGCGTGTTTCCCCTCAGGCTTCAGGTCTGGACGGGGTCCCCCGACTGTCCTGCAGGGGTGCTGTTCCCCGCCCTTGCTACCGTGTCTCCAGCCATCACCCCGCGTTCCTCCCGGGCGCTCAGCCCTTCCTGGAAGCAGCTGGCCTTCTTATCTGTTATTGTTGGTCTCTTGCTGTGAGTGTTTGTTTACCAGGACAGGGACTTTGTTTTGTTTACCATGACACGTGATGTGCATGAACGGGGTTTGGCACATAGTAGGGCTGTAATATTTAGTTGTGAGAATGAATGATTCAGGTGCTCATCCTAGTAGTCTATTAAGTTAGCAAGTTATTTTGTGTGTGTGTGTGAATGAGCTGGACTTGCTTGCTTCCTACCCATTCTTGAAAATGCAGTTCCACATAATATGATCTTATGTACACACAAAGCAGAGAAACAGCAACATCAGTTTCCTTGGTGTAGTTCCTGCTGTTTTCTCGCTTTTCAGGGCAGATTGTGTGAGGGTAGAGATGTTTTAGGATTATCATTGTTGAATTTTATACAGTCCCATTAAAATCACTTTATTATGTATTTTTACTGTCTTTGTATTTTTGTTCCAGTCCAACTGGCAGATACTCAGTTATCTGCATAGTTTTATTTTCATTATCCAAAGGCTGAATTTAGGTCTGTTCCACTTGATTAATGGACAGTAAAGAAAACTTGAAAATTCGGGGATCATTTTGCAAAGATCACATAATTTAATAAACTCTAATAGCTGGGGGAATATCCTTGTTCATTTGTTAGAGTGCCTGTACATTTTTGTTAAGATGAAACACTTTAATATCGAGTGACCACTTTGGGGCAGATTCTGTTTTTATTGGTTTATGACTTAGTGCCTAAGCATGTTTCCCTTTGTACACCAACCAAGTGTCAGGTCTCTCGGTAGAGTTGAAATGTGATGAGTTCTGTCTCTGAGCACCTTTCCATCATCGTCCAGGGAATTGGGCCCCAGGGAAGTGGGCTCCAGGGAAGCAGCCTCTGGGAAAGGGGACTCCGGGGAAGCGGGCTATGGGACCTTGGAGGAGTCTTGAAGGAGCCAAATACGAGTTTGCTGCATCTTGAGAATGGTCAGCTCAACCTTGGAAAGCTAGTGTCAGGGTTTGGGGATCGAGGCATCTGAGGCTGTGCATTGTGCTGAGAGGATCATGCCGTGTCGGAAATGCCAAAACTCCCTGGGCAGTGCCCCAAGGCCAGTGGCTGGGATTGGGTGCTGTATCTGTCATTTGCTTGCACTCATCTTGACTAGGCATCATCTGATCTGCAGTTATCTGCAGCTTCTGCTCCAGTTTCTTCTCTCTGCTCGCCTCCCCCAGGGACTTCTGGCGAGCTCCCTCTTCCCGTCTGTGCCGGGGCTCATTCCTTCTGCCTGTGCCTCTTCCAGGGATGTGGCCCACTGGATGGTGGTGGCCTGGAGATCCTGGAACGGCGCCTGCGTGTGGGCGTGCACAATGGTCTGGGCTTCGTGCAGAGGCCGCAGGTCGTTGTACTGGTGCCTGAGATGGATGTGGCCTTGACGCGCTCAGCCAGCTTCAGCAGGAAAGTGGTCTCCTCTTCCAAGACCAGGTATTGTCCCCTGGGTCCCCAGGGATGGGTGGGGATGTACAAGGGATCACGATGAAATTTGTGCATGTCAGGTGTGGACTCACCCACGGGGGAGTTCTTCCTTATGTTTCTTTCCTCTTGCTAAGTTGTGCCCATTAGGAACCAACCTTGGAGTTGGAAGTTCGGAAAAAGCCCCCCCTTTTTTTTCCGTTTGTGCTCTGACAATTTGGGGGTTAGCATTATGGATGCTTCCAGCTGCGGCTGCTGAGGGTCTGTGGAGGCCTTGCATGCTGCCTTCTAGGTGTGCCCTGTGATTAGTTTCTCATAGGACGGAGAATCAGGGGGCAGCAAGACCTGCTGCTCTGTTTAATCCAGTGCTTCCCAAATTAGGTGTCGCAGACATCACTGCAGGGCGTCATGCCTTTCCTCTCTTATGGTGCCAGGCAGAGGCCAGGTGTCCTCTGCCGTAGGCCAGCCTTGAAGAAGGAGCCTCCATCCTCTATGGCATTTCCTGGTAACTTGGCCGTATCAGGCCGTATCAAACTTTGGTAATTTGGAAAGGCGTTGAAAGAGCAGTGAGAAGCCGAGGCGGGAGGATTGCTTGAGCTCAGGAGTTTGAGACCAGTCATGGCAGCATAGTGAGACCCTCATCTCTTAAAAAAAAAAAAAAAAAAAAGCAATGGTTTGGGGGAATTCCCAGATCATTTGGGAAGAGCATGCAGTGTTACATGGTAGACTTGCTGTGGCAGCAGCACCCCTGTGTCCCCCAGGGTGTCCCCTTGGCTGTTGCTGACAGTGGTCGATGTGGATGCAGGAAAGATGGGAGCCTGAGCTCTAATGCGTCCCCGGTTTGTGTTTCTGACCCAGCTCCGGGAGTCAAGCTCTGGTTTTGAGAAGCCGCCTCCGCCTCCCAGAGATGGTCGGCCACCCTGCATTTGCGGTCGTCTTCCAGCTGGAGTACGTGTTCAGCAGCCCCGCAGGAGTGGACGGCAATGTAAGAACAGCCTTTTGCACTCAGGTTCCTCTGGCGGTGAACTCTGTGCTGAGGATAAATGTAGTGGGCATGAATGCTTTTTCCATTAAAAACAGTCATGATTATTATAAATAATAAGTGAAAATCACTTTACTGACATTTACCAGCTAATTGTAAGGAATGTTACGAAGGATACAGACGAGATGGAGAGGGCAAAGAATGTGGGAAGGGGTTGGAGCTCCCATGCCCCGCTGGGCTCCGCCCTCTGGGCACCTCCGTGGGTTCAGCTGTCCAGAGCTCTCTGAAGCCAGTCCTTTTGGGTTTTGATGGACACTTCATTCCGTAGACATGATTGATTAAACACTGGCCGTTGATGATCAATGTAACCTTCAGTCACCCTCCTCCCCCTGCCTTGGTCTTGCTGTGAGCAGCCCCATCCTGAAGCCACCGAGGGGCTACCAGCCACGGTCACCTCATTAGCACACAAAAGATAGCACTTCGGAGACTCTGGGGGTTTCAGGAGTTGTGTACCAGGAAACTGGACGAAGACCAAATAGATGGTTCACAAATGACAGGTGCATTCTGCTGGCTGAGAGTAACGCATATAAGTCAGTAAGTTTCATGTATCATAATTGCGTGAATTCATGATGATTGAATCGGTAATTATTTTGAAAAATAAGGCCATTTTTAATGTATTTTTATATGACAGTAGTGTGGTAAAGCTTCAGTTTGCACATGTGAGAGATGGTTTCTCATAGGGAACTTTATATATACCTATAGAATACTAAGAGTAAGAATTTATAGGTCCAGTTGAAAGAAAGAAAATATGTGGACATCATTTATATTAATGTAGATTCTTTGAAAAACCCAAATCCTGCTGTTCTTAAGATTTAGTTTTCTGTTTGAAAAAGCCAGTACTGTAGTTCCGCCTTTTCCACAGGGCGTTTGTTCCAAGACCCCGGTGGGTGCCTGAAACCTCTGTAGTACTGACCCCTACACGGTACATACTAGGTTTTGTCCTGCATATACATACCTGTGATACAGTTTATAAATTAGGTACAGTAAGATATTTAACAACAATAACAATAAAATAGAACAATTGTAATATACAGTAATAAAAGTGAATGTAGTCTCTGCCTCTGCCTCTCAACTGCAGTGGGCGGTTGGTGTCTACAGTGTGGACGCGGAGGATGGACGGATGATTCATGCCCTGGGTGGGGCACTGCTCAGAGAGGCATGCAATTTAGGACTTAGGGATTGTTTTCTTCTGGAGTTTTCTATTTAATATTTTCAGACCAAGGTTGACTGAGGGTCACTGAAACTGCAGATGAGGGGTACTTCTGCATAATTTTATTTTATTTTTTTAAACGGAGTCTTGCTGTGTCGCCCAGGCATTCTCGGCTCACTGCAAGCTCCGCCTCCAGGGTTCACGCCATTCTCCTGCCTCAGCCTTCCGAGTAGCTGGGACTACAGGTGCCCGCCACCACGCCTGGCTAATTTTTTGTATTTTTTAGTAGAGACGGGGTTTCACCATGTTAGCCAGGATGGTCTCCATCTCCTGACCTCATGATCTGCCCGCCTCAGCCTCCCAAAGTACTAGGATTACAGGTGTGAGCCACCGCGCCCGGCCCTTCTGTATCATTTTAACAAGTAAATTAGAAACCAAAAAACGGCTGACAAGGCATCTTCCATGGCGACGCGGCCTGCCATTGCGACTGGGCAGCTCTTTCGGGAACAGCCTGTGAAGGAGCATGAGGTGCTGAGGACGGTCTTGGGGTGTGCCTCAGGCGGGAGAGCAGGGTGTCGGGGTACAGCTGCCATTTGATGTTTCTAATCTCTTCTGGCAGTGGTGAGCTGACCTTGCCAGTGTCCACTCCTCCGGTCCCTATGATTCTGAGTCCTAATTAGGTGCAAAAATCCAGAGGTGCCAAGTGTTCTGTGGCCTGACGCAGTCACAGTCATTTAATGAAACTGTTCCAGTTCTGCTTTGCTTTACTTATGACCAGAAATTTCAGCTACAATGCAGCTGTTTGTGAATACCCTTGGGTGGGAGGGGCCTCTGGGGTGGGTGTGGCTCATGGAGAGGGATGGGGCTGCCCAGGCTGGGGAGTGAGCGGAGGAGAAATGGCCTCAGGGTGCCCTGGCAGCGCCCGATGGCTGATGTGTGGTGCCTAGGGGCTGTGAGGGGAGGTGGGGAGGAGCAGGGGGCCTGGCGCCTCACTCGCAGTGTCTTCTAGAGAATATTAATTGTAATTTACTTGTGATTATGACGTCTGTATGCCAAAACCAAGATGTCTTAGTGACACTTTATTCCTTTTTAACCCTCATCTGAAATTCCTGATAGCAGATGGTTTCGACGGTGGCCGCTGCACGGGCATCTAGGGTGCGGGTGAGGTTGTGAAATCACTCCCTCCCCTCCCCACCCCTGCCCACTCCCCTCCCCACTCCCCTCCTCTCTCCTCCCCTTCCCTCCCCTCACCTCTCCTTCCCTCCTCTCCCCTCCCGTCCTGTCACCTCCCCTCCCCTTCGCTTCCCAAGACAGAGTCTCACTCTCTCGCCCCTCAGTGGCGCGATCTCGGCTCACTGCAGCCTCTGCCTCCCGGGTTCAAGCGACTCTCCTGCCTCAGTCTCCTGAGTAGCTGGGATTACAGGCATGCGCCACCATGCCTGGCTGATTTTTGTATTTTTAGTAGAGATGGGGTTTTCCCGTGTTGGCCAGGCAGGTCTCGGACCCCTGACCTCAAGTGATCTGCCCTCCTAGGCCTCCCAAAGTGCTGGGATTCCAGGCATGAGCCACCGCACCTGGCCAGTCGTCGGTACTTTCTGATGTGCTGGTGGATTGTAACTGGGAATACTGGATTCCACTTTACTGTCATCAAGCGCACTTTCCTGGGTGAAATCTGGAATGGAAACATTGCAGTGTGTGAAATGACCTTCCATACAAATTGCTTGCTGTACAGAACCACTGAAAGTGGGTTAAGCATCCAGCAGGTGAAACTGGAATTGAGCGGGACATGAGAGGAGAAACGCACAATGGCGGGGCCGTCTGTGTGACGGTGGCCGTGGTAGAGGAACCCAGCGTGCTCCTCCGAAGGCCCAGGGCGGGCCATGGCAGGGCCCTCCCCCCTCAGCCACCCCGTCTGCAGCAGCGTCTCCTGGAGCAGCCGCCTTCAGCTGGGTGGGGATTTTTTCAGTGTGGTCATGCGTACCGGCTGCAGCGTCCTCCTCCTTGTCTTTGGTGAGGACCCTGCGCGGTGGAAGCTGCAAGCACAGCTGAGAACAGGCTGGCTGGTACGATGAGCCCCACGGAGCTTCCCCGGCCGCCAGCTTCCTGGACAACAATCTGCTTCTTCTGTGTACTCTCCCACAACCCGCTCTGAATTATTCTGAAACAAATTCCAGGCATCATTTTACTCCATCTGTAAACCTTTTGGCATGCACATTTCGTTTTTTTAAAAAACTTTTTTATTACGGGAAATTTCAAAGCTAACGGTGGAGAAGCATGTGGTGCGCTCCCTGCACCCACCTCCAACCCCCGATTTACCGTTTATGTCTCATCTCTTTCTCCCGTCCCGTTCCACCCGGCCTGTTGGAGAGCACATCCTAGACATCGCATCCTTTCATCTACAGATGGCTCGCCATGTCTCTCCAAAAGACAGGGCTCTGGAGTGTCACTGTGAACACCATCATCACACCTAACCTTGACTGCATTTCTCAGTATCATCAAACGTCCAGTCAGCCTGGGTGTACATATTTTAAGTATTTTACTTCATCAGAAACGGACAAACCCCAGCAGTGTGCTTTTCCCTGGAAAGTGACTTGTGACAGACGTCTTCCTGCATGAGCCAGGCGGCCTGTCTGTTGTTCCCTGGCAGTGGCTTCCTCATGATGCCTTTAACTGGAGGATCTGCTCTCCCTGTGGCCCTGCTGCCTTCATCACACACTCCTAATGCTGGGAGAACCAAAATGCACCAGGCTTTGGCAGTTTCTTCACTTGGCCTCATGCGTCAGATCAGGAGGCAAAAGCCATGGTGTCCGGGGGCCCTTTGTGGAAGGATTCATCTGTAAATGGTACACACGGACAAGAAGGAGGAGGCCACCTGGGCTGATGAGAACATGGGACAGATACTGTGTTCAAGACACACCCAGGCACCGGAGTCTGCATGCATTCTTTTGGTCCTGAGTATTTTGTGGTCAGTGGAAACAAACGAGGGACAAAAGTTTTGCGAAGACACACTCATTGATTTTAATCTGCTATTAAATTTTTGCATTTTTTAGTAACCAAAGTATCTAGAAACTTTTCCCTGTAATTTATGTTTGGGTTAGCTGTGAAGAAGCTAAAGAAACTACCAAAGAAGTAGTTCCTCCTGTCCACACCACTTTCTTCCCAGGATCCTGGGGACAGTGCAACCTCATTTGACTACCACAGCACTACCTCTTTTGAAATGCTGTATGCATGCAAGTGTGGGCTCCGGAAATGTTTGCTGACTGAATGAGTGATGGAGCAAACTCCTATAACATGAGCATGAAATGCAACAGGGGCAAACCTGCAAAAATCACCAGATCCAGTGTCTTGGCTGCGTTTCATGTCTGAATAAGCGGGCATCCTCCTGGGCCTCTGGGGGTGAATACAGTCCTTTCCTGTGGGTCACATGACAAAATAACCCTCTTCCCAAATCTCTAAGGGGTGAAGATCTGACTGATTTATTGTTTATGTTTAACTCATATTCTTGGAACAAAATCAATGGCCCGTGTTCCAGGTCCCAGGTCTGTTGAACTGATCCATGCGTGTCCTTGATGGCCTTTCCTCCAGTACTGTGTCCAGTTCAGGATCCTGTCTTGTGTCTGGTTTCTGTGTTTCTTTGGCCTCCTTAAGTCTGGAACAGTTCCTCAGCTTTTTTTTTTTTTTGGTCATTTATGATTTTATTTTTAATATTTTAGTCTCCTTTTTTTTTTTGAAATGGAGTCTCGCTCTGTCCCCCAGTCTGGAGTGCAGTGGCGCAATCTCGGCTTACTGCAAG